GTTCTGTTTTTCACCGCGTGGAGAAAACTCTAGTCCTGCCTTCCAACTGAAACCTATCAAATTTTCCTGGCGGGAGAATCTTTAACAAGAATTGTCTTGTTTTAAACATCATTTCCCTCCCCCCCCCCCCCGTTTTCTATCACCCGTACGAACTATGTTTAGATATTTTTTCAATCGGTATAATAACGTACAGTTACTTCAGCTAAGTAGGAAAAGTTAAAACAATCTTTTGTTTCACTCTTTAGAAAACTGTTATAGATCATTTTTTTTCCACAATCATCTACTGATAATTTCAATACAGAATTTTTTCTAAATATGACGAAACGCAAAACTGTCTCATGCTCCCATGTTCTTTCGAAAAAATGAAAATAAAAAGAGACTTGCATGCCATAGAAGAAGTTTTACTGTTTTATACCTGTCCCTTTTCGAGACCCCATGTCCCTCCTCCTATTAGGTCTGCGACCGGCTCAGCAGCCAAGTAACTGTATGGTCTAAATTCTACGTGAGCACCAAGAGCATCACCCAAAGCTAAACCAAACATTGAGCCTTTAATACGATCCAGTATGTCATCTGCATTTGCCAACAGTCCATAATGTTTAGTGTCGATTTTGATCTGGTCTGGTTTTATGATGACTTTCTGATCGGTATCCTCAAATTGTAAGTCGAGCCAAGATTTATCTATTAAAAAGAAAGAATTAATGCTAGCATTTCTATTTTTATTTAATCTAGGGAAAATGAATTCATTTGACTCTTAAATAAATAATGAAGTTGAATGTCAAACAGATGATTTGTAGTGTCTGAACAAATAATTCATGGTTACCTGGTTGATTTGTGCTATTTTGAGGCATTTACTTGGACCTGATTACTCCTACAATAACAGGATAAAAAAGAATTTTATTCAATTAGATACGATTGAAAGGTTTTTGGGGAATAAAAGTTAGATGCCAACATAGATGTTTAGTATCTGTCAATATGCTAATACTTTCGGAACAATGAGATCAATAATATTCAAATAAAAATGCTGAACTTAGCTGCTCGATATCAATTCATATTTGTTACATCTACAAGTTGAGTTTGACCAAACAGGCGTCTTAGCTTCTCTATATCTTCTAAATGAATATACTATTCAGTATCAGTATGAAGAGTTGTTTTCATATTCCTAAAACTCAGCTACATGTCGTTCTTCATTTATTGTTTTCTTCTCTTCTGCTATAGTTCTTTTCTTTTAGCATTGTCTAATTATGTTAATATCACTATAGCAGTTTTATACATCGTTTTTTGTTTTATAACTAACTTCGATTTGGATAGGCCTGTATAAAATAAAATAAGCAGAGTTTTTCACGAGAAATGAAAAAATTCGTCACTGATGAACAATGTCTTTAATCTACGATTTAGAAAATAAATAATTAGAAACTAAACTAAAATATATTTTTCATCAAGAAGCAATGTCTATCAGGAATGAGAATCCCTTGCGATAACTATCGATAAACTACTGCAGATAAATAGATGGTATACCAATCAGTATAATGTGCGCTATACCGATGGTTTGCTGCTGGTGTTTTTTTTAAAGTCCTGTATCATTGTGTGTTGCATCAAAAGAGATGAATACTTTGGAAATTTTTTAAACCCAACCGAATTGAGTCAATATCGAATCATGCCGATATTGTTGATGCGTCTGAACTGTCTGTACTAGTTACAGAGCCCAAATCGGCTCCAGTTATGAGATAAATTTTTATTAAAGATGGTGCTACAAAAATTTTATAAGTAAAATATATTCTAAAACCGCTTTCTTCTCGGTTAATATCAATTCTTTCTAATAAATCATTCGAGTTTGAATAGAAAACACTCTCTATAATCGTTCATAGCGAGAGCTGAGAGTTGTAAACACTACCGCAGTGTATCGGTGATAGTACGAACAAACGTGTGATATGAGAATGTGACGTTCGGTGTTCAAGATTGAAGTCAGCATCCCCAATTTGAGTGAAATCAAAAAAAACAACAAATTCCTTGTTTGTTTACATGCTTTCAAAACAAATTTCTTTATCGGCAATGTGACGGAAAATGGCAGAGAGGTGGATAGATGATGTTCTGTTTTGTTACTAATTCAATGTATGTTTTATTATAATCAACATTGACAAACTGAAAGAGTAGCATTACCACTATCCTTGGTAAAGATGTTCACTACACTACTCCACCATTTCAGTTGTTTCTGTTTCACACAGAACACGAGTTTATATACACGAAAGAGAAGAAAAAAGTAGAGAAGCAAGAATAGATGACAGTGAGCAGGTAACTATTAACGTTCATGAGGTTCGAGCGTCCAGCTACATAATGTTTGAAAAGCGCTCACATTGTAACTCTGTTATCAATATAGACAGGAATTATATTGTCAACTGAAAGTTTCAGTGATTTTTCTTCTCTACGATTTGAATCACGAGTTGGTGGTATACGTAAGAAATGACTTTAAAAAGATATAGAGAATGATGATATTCACTGCATCATAGAAGTATTCGTCGTTTTTCTTATCATCATGAAAAACCTTTGTTTCTCAAGTGCAACAGTTTTTTTTTTCAAACAAATTTTCTTATTTTTAATATTTATGCACCTAGATATTATACAGTTGTATGCACACATTCATTCAAATCATCATTTTGATTCACTCACCAGACTACAATAATATAAAGTTGGCTTGAGAATGAATAAAAATTTCAACTTTGTCGCTTATTCTGTATGTGAAAATGTAATGTGTATCGTCATGAAGCAGCGTTTGGCTTATCAGTTGCTTTAACAACCCATCGTACTTGTGTTCTTTTTCTTCTATTCAGCAATTTTTTTTTGAAAAGAACATGCACATTCACATATACGAACACATGGGAAAGAAAGAAGACAAACAACTCAAGATTAAACACACGATGCTAAATGCATTAGAGTTCGAGGCTCAAATAAAGACTCATTGAGTTATAAATTTTTTTTTCGCAACATTAGATGTCATAGCACAGCAAAAAAAAGAGTCATCATAATATTTCTTTTTTTCTCCTCCATTCTCATGAACCGTGACAGAATAAAGAATAGTAACGCATATTGAGTATGTAGATGTAATCGAGTGTGAGTATTCTTCTTGTAAACACCCAAACCCTCACGTGTTTTCTTTTTTAATAAGTCTTTATGTTATGTTGTTCATTGATAATTTACATCGAAACCATCTAAACGACATAAATATGTTATTAACGGTAGATCAACAAAACATGTGTGATGGTGGCATTTTATTTGTGTCTAATTCACGTATTTCACGTTGGTCAACAAATTGAATCTTAAAAAAAAAATAAATTTATGATCAAAATACGTTTTTCTTTATTATTTTCAATAACAAACCCACGCAAAATTTTTTTGTTGATTCAAATTCTAATACATGTGCACGATGCTAATGTGATTGATAATGAACAGCATCCATTTGACGACGACAATATGAAGACGCTGCTGATATATCTCGACATTGTTCGGTTGAATATAAATCTCTTGAATAAAATAAAATGTTATTATTGATGGAAAAAATGAAGCGAGAAAATATTTACGCCATATTTCGATGAAGATCATTAAGCATTTGCTTGGATTCAATGTTTTGGGCGGATGCTATGATTGTGTCATAACATGCTGTCACAAGCACTTACACCCACACTGCGCCCATACCCCAAATTTTTTGGGCTATTTTGTTACAGATATTATTCACTAATGAAACTTTCTTGCACAGGACGATTTATGTCAAAAGTGTAATCAGTATCGATACTATATTCACAGAAAATTTCATCCCTCAGTATTCTCATTCTGGAAACCAAAACTTTTCATAAAGAGGTTGCGGGTGTGGATATGAGTGCCATCTACTCTTCAGAAACACCTGCACTCACACCAATATATTCGTTCTTTTTCAAAACAATAATGATTAACATCACTAGTAAAAATGAAAATTTGACACAGATGTGTCATCTATAAAAGTATTTCATTTAATTTATTTTGAAAAAATCATTGCTAGTTACAGAATTACGATATTCATTCTGATTTAGTCCATTTTCGCCGAAAAAATTTTTCGCCGAAGACGAATTTCGCCGAAAAGAAAATTTCACCGAAGGAAATTCGCCGAAAAAAAGTTCACCGATTCTATTTTCGCCGAAAGAATTCGGTCACCGAAAACAAATATAAGTTGAGCTTGATCATGTAAATAACAATTCTATTGAGACAATTAATCGATTCTATCAAGTCCGTTAAATCCTACTTGANAATTCCTGTATATCTTGATGATGATGGATGTGCACAAATTCCGGAATTCCGGAATTTGTGCACATCCATCATCCTCAGCATATGCAGGAATTCCAGGTCATTCCTGCCTATTCCGGAATTACGAACATGTCATGGATGGGTAAATGATCATTTCTCGAGCTTGAATAATTGGAAAGCGGAATTCCGGAATTTGTGCACAACCGTAATCATTGGGATATGCAGGAATTCCGGGTCATTCCTGCCTATTCCGGGTCATTCCGGCCTATTCCGGAATTACAAACATGTCATGGATGGGTAAATGATCATTTCACGAGCTTGAATAATTGGAAAGCGGAATTCCGGAATTTGTGCACATCCATCATCATCAGGATATACAGGAATTGCTGGTTATTCCATATAGATGCAATTCCGGAATTCACAGGGGAATTGCATCTTTATTTCTATCGCAATGTTAAGTAGAACATGAATACACGTACCTATGCAAGAATATTGACGAATGTGCAGGAATCCCTGGTCATTCCATATAGATGCAATTGCGGAATTCAAAGGGGAATTGCATCTTTATTTCTATCGCAATGTTAAGTAGAACATGAATACACGTACCTATGCAAGAATATTGACGAATGTGCAGGAATCCCTGGTCATTCCATATAGATGCAATTCCGGAATGCAAAGGGGAATTGCATGTATATTTCTATCCCAATGTTAAGTAGAAGGTGAGTACATGTACCTATGCAGGAATATGCACGAATGTGCAGAAATGTGCAGGAATTCGTGGTCATTCCATATAGATGCAATTCCGGAATTCAAAGGGGAATTGCATCTTTATTTCTATCGCAATGTTAAGTAGAAGATGAATACATGTACCTATGCAGGAATATTCAGGGATATGGACGAATGTGTAGGAATGTGCAGGAATGTGCAGAAATGTGCAGGAATTCCTGGTCATTCTATATTGATGCAATTCCGGAATGCAAAGGGGAATTGCATCTTTATTTCTATGGCAATGTTAAGTAGAAGATGAATACATGTACCTATGCAGGAATATGCACGAATGTGCAGGAATGTGCAGGAATGTGCAGGAATGTGCAGGAATTCCTGGTCATTCTATATAGATGCAATTCCGGAATTCAAAGGGGAATTGCATCTTTATTCCTATTGCAATGTTAAGTAGAACATGAATACAGCGACCTATGCAAGAATATGCAATAATATGCACGAATGTGCAGGAATGTGCAGGAATGTGCAGGAATGTGTAACTTTGCGGAATAGGATGACTGCTCATAGAAATGAACAAACAATTAATAGTATCCTCAACAATCACATGATAGCGTGATATAAACTAGGAAGAGGCAGTCGTCCAGTAGGAGACAACAAGCGACGAGATGATGAGGAATTGAACCAGCGGAATTTTTTGAACTAGATTGGATCGCATCTCGCTGTAACCGACCTATCAGTATCTATGATTGAAACAGAAAAAAACCAGCAAAAACTCTGCAAATTTTATGGCATGTTATGAATGGTAGAAAATTGGACGAATATATGTTTTAAAACGTTACTGCTGAGAACTCAGGAGATGAAACAGTGGTTTGAATATATCTATTTTAGTGAGAAAATGTCATTTGAGTGCAATCAATCTAACGGAATAATTTTCATTNCACACCAGCCTCATAGATGAAGTTTCTTTTCTTTTCTTTTCTTTTATGTTCTCTTTGATCTTACTTTTTCTGTACTCTTTACTGCTTATCCTTATGGATATCAAGCCTTTGCATTCTTCTATCCCATTATCCGGTTGCTTTACTCATGGTAAATTACAATTTTCTTTTTCTTTTTTCCTTTTCTGATACGCTTAATGCATGCACAATGTTTCAAGCTAAACTGTCCCTTTAGGACCATCAGGGTCATAGGGAAATATCTGCTTATAAAGTAGATTTAAGCTTAATCTTTCAAATCAATCTTTCTTCTCTTTATTTTAGTTACAAAAAATTTTAATGATAAGTGTATATATCGTTCAATTTAATGAAGATCATGCATTATCACTTATGATTTGTGTTGAAGACGGTTGGGATATAACTGCTCAATTTATTTCAATAAGTGAATTATTATTAGATCCATATTATCGAATATTTGAAGGATTTCACACATTAATTGAACATGAATGGTTTGCATTTGGACATCGATTTTCACATCGATCAAATCAAACAGCTACGAATACAATTGGTTTTGCGACGATTTTTCTTCAATTTCTTGATCTTGTTCATCAAGTAAGATTTATTAAAATGAATTATAGTTAAAATTTTAAAAAATTTGGATTCAATCTCCAATACAATTTGAATTTAATGAATATTATCTTCGTTTTTTTTGCTTATCATCATCTATCAACTTGATTTAAAAATTTTATGCTTGATTGTGATTGTGAACGAAAAAAAGATCGAAATTGGTATGTTGATACCACTCGTAATGCAACAACTGATGAAATTAGTGGTAAGTTTAGTCTATTTATTAATCGCGCCAAACTGCCACTTTGTTCTTTAGGTTTATATTGATCTAATACAATTAATATTTGGGATTATATTACAAAGTCAATCGAGAATCTTCAAGATTTTATAATTTTTTTTATTCACCATCAAATGATAGTTGTGTTCTTCGTCCATCATATAAAATGTATTCACTTAATATATGGGATTTTTATTTAAGTGAAACATTAGAAACAGGTTGTCCATATGATCTTGATATAGCATTAGCTGAACATGATAAACATTTAAATGATGCTGAATTACGACAACGTAGTAAAAGTATATCAACTGTTTATGATGATATTAGTCTTTGTTTACCAGATCCTTTTAATGAAATTGTTTCTCTAAGGATGTTTTGATTTTCTAATGAATACTAGTGGATTACCCGTTTTTCTATTCTAGGAAATGTCGGATACATTATCACATACAAATGGTGAATCATAGAAAACTTATTGGGATAAAATTGAAAAACATGAACGAGAAAAAGCACAGGTACGAGTTTCAAGTTCAATTAACAGACAGAATAAAAAATATAATAATTAATTTTCTAGCGTCTATCAATGCAAGATGAAACATACAAACGAAGGAATTCTCAACAAAATTATTTTCAACCACAAGGATCATTTTCATTATCACGTATATCATCGATTTATGGTTCACATACATATGAACTAACACAAATTTCTCCACAACAATATGTGATGCTTGTGATGAATTAATTGATTCAAAAAAAATCACCAAATAGTTTGAATTTAATTGAGATTTTATTTTGAAATAAAATTTATTTTTATTAGAAGGAATCCAAGTATTTCAATGTCGTGATTGTTCGAATGTTTGTCATGAAAAATGTCGACCAGTAGCATCATGCAAACCATGTAGGCGAATTGATGTTAGTGGAAACGCACATATAAGATGATCAATAACAATAATCAAACTGTTTTTTACATCGAATTGATTCGAATTACAAATTTTATCGTGGAAGCTCAAACTAAATAAGGGACTAGCGCTTGTTTAAGTTTTTTGGTGAGAGTTGCCAAATCATATAACTTATTCATATATGCAAAAATGAATTCAATATTATTTATTTTTTCTAAATTTTAGCAAAAATTTTCAGAAGAGATCGTGTGTATTCGTCTCATCTGTGATGTCTTACGATTTATGATGAGAATCAAACCATATCATATTGAATTCAAAGCTATTAAACAAAAAATATTTACGTTCTGTTTTCTTCCTTCAATGTGAAACATATATACATGTCAGTCTGAGATCTACTGTTTTTCAACGCCCTCTTTTCTAATGTAGAGGCTAACTGTAATCTGTAAATGCAATGGCTTTTTGGTGTGTGTATGTAGCTCAATCGATTCGATTCAATTGGATCCATTTTCATATCGTATTAACTTTCGTAAATTCATCATGAATACAAATCAAATCGACAATCATTATTGTATAAAAATTGAAACTGATGAAGATTTTAAATTGATAAATACTACGACAAAAGAAGATCCTATTATTGCTGAAGTAGAAAAGGAAAGTTTTGAATAAATAGTATTTATTATATTTATGATTTCAGGATCGTCGTTTGCGTGATAATGAAATAACAGAAAAGTTTGGTGAATATTTACATAAAGGCTATTGTATGGCAAACGATGCTTGTCCAGTTTGTAATGTATGTAATCAATGATAATCTCGAAATTCATTATTATTTAACATATATATATTCATTAGTGTATCCTTCTTCGTACACCTGAAGATCAATTATTTTGTGTTGGTTGCAATGAAATCAATATGGAAAATAGTCAGTTTAGAAAAATAAAAAGTTTAGTATTTTTATAAGTCTATATTTGTAGAAAAAATTTGTGATCAAAAGAAAATTGTAACAAAAAATAAGACAACAGATCATGTAAAACGTTTGGAAAAAGAAAAAAAGGAGAAAGAACATGTTGAAAATATAGATAATTATAATCAACTTGAAAATAAAATTCAATGGGCTGTTGATAAAGTAATATGAATTTTATTTAGTTTTTTTTTCTGCAATAAAATAATTTTTATCTTTATAGTTAATGAAAATTCAGAAGCCAGATCGTATTAAAGAAATGTGTACGGTCATTATGAATTTAACAAAAACAATAGAAGTACTGAAGAAACATGAAACGACATATGCACAAGACTAAATAAAAAAAAACTGTTTCACTTAGTTTTATTTTTAGTTTATCGTTATTTTGTTTTGTTTTATTTTGTTTATTATCTCATATTCATTGTTAGAAACAAACTATTTTACATATATTCATAATCATGCTACACAAAACTGAAAAACATATGACAAGAAATCAGAAAAAAGTTTGGAGAAAATTTTCAACTAAAGATATTGAATGCCAATTAAAAGATGTTCAAGTACGAAAAAAGACAACATATGTTTTAAGAATATCTGCAACTACTTAGGAAATCGATTTAAATAATAAACGTCAAGATTTTTTAAATCAAATTTTTAGTGAAAAAGAATTAATTTACTGATATGATACATTTTGATGTTGAAGGAGGGTAGACGTGAAGTTTCGGGGATAGCCGCATCCTTATTAATAGTCTTAGATCCTTGTTGAAATTCATAGATTCTTTAAATCAGTCTCTTGTATAAGATAAAGAAATCTTGAATTATTCTGTAATTCATTTGTGTTATGAACTCAAGTTTTATCTCATAAATTGAATATATTGCAAGGAAACAGATATTAGTGGAGTTACTTTCAAAGATGATATTTAAAAATGAATATTGCTGATACTTATCTACAATCAAATCCATTACAATTGCTGGAAAAGTCATCAATACTAATTTTCACGTTTATCATAGCTTGCATGTCACTTTCTTTTAATCCCAATTAATTCAACTGAGATTGAATAGTCTTTTTCTGCTACAGAGAGGGGTGTCCAAGGACTGAGGATTAGGAATTCTTCCACAGTTCCATCAATGCTAAAATTAGAAAAATACGATATCCATGATATTTTTTGCTCTTACACTCGTTTTCATTAAGAAGTTTGTGAATATGAACGTGTGGACACGAAAACTATTTCAGAAAAAGCGTCATAGGGGCTTTCGTAAATGGAGGAGCCATGAGAGAGCCAATGATCAATTCCCATTTCTCTAAGGAATTGTCATGACGACGCTGACAGTTCCTTGACAGATTAGAAATTCCTATTTCTCAGTTCTTGGACACTGCTGGCAAAATCTGAAATTCGCGTAACTTTTTCAGGATATCAGCGATTCTTAGAAGTGGAGTATCTCGCAAAGGAAACATTCCGTTGAGTTGAAATTTTCGAGGTTTTCTAATCATAAGCACATCTATTTGTGTGTCAAAGTTCAGGTCGAAATATCCTTTATTCGACTTTTTTCTCTGGAATTTTTCATGTTTCATTCGTATTGAAGTAGATTCCGTGATTTTTTCGATGGCATATTCGAATTAAAAAAATACAGAGATTCAAATCATTTGATAATTTTCTTGCATGGAATAAAATCATGATCATGATATTTCGATCACCTGCATCCTCTGTGTATTATCAGCATAGTTTAGTCAATACATAGATCTAAGCTGAGAGTTTATATTCAAGTTTATTTATTTCAAAAAAGATTTTATAGTAAAAAAGACAAAGAAAGAATTAATGTTCATAATCAATTAGCTTTGTCAGCAATTTAACTTCTTGTTCTAAATTTTTATCTTGAATTAGTTTCATTTCTGATTGAAAATGGGCTCAGAATTCTTTGAATTGTTCTCGATACTCCTTTGATACACTCAATTCAGTTGATTGTCGTTCCTAAGGACTCAACTTGTCAGCATTATTTTCTTTTAAATTCAATAATTTTTTTCTTTCATTATACTTATGCTCTCGTTCATGATTTATCCATTGTTTCATTAATGAAGCATAGTTAACTAGGAGAATAGCTTTTCGTATACCGAGGTTAGCATAATTAATCTAATTTTTTATATGAATATCGATCGATTGCTTTTCTTCATATTCATTACCAAGACGATCTTCATGAGTTACTGAAGTGTGTTGTCGTGCTGAAAGTATGTGTTATTGACTCTTTTGTCTTCAATTTTAACAGAACAATACCACCACGTGTTTGTTGTTCGTCATCTGTTCGAGATGGAAATAATGTATTAATTTTAATACATTCTCCTTGTTTAGTTTCATCACATTCAAGAGAACCATAAACGTGTTCAACATCAAATAGATCTGATTGAAATTTCATTTCAACATTGAATACTAATGGTGTCAAAATCAGATCAAAATCTTTGTCCAATAGTTGAAGAAAATTCTTTTGAATCATGAACAAAAAAATAGTTAGTCCCACGTTGTTTTGTTCGTAGCTTCTCAAAAGAGATAGTTTTTAAATATATATTCTTCTATTTAGATACTTCCATAGCTATTTAAACAGTCATCCAACTAGTTAATGAATCGTATAACTATTTAAAGGCTACGATAACTATTTTCAAAGTTATATAGATACGTGAAGGTGAACAGCTATTTCAAGATTTGTACAGTTATTTAAAAAAAACGCAACTATTTGATCAAACGCATACCTATTTAAATAACTTCGCATCTTTTTTAAACCCAGAATGGCTATTTAAAGTATGACGCTTTTATAGTATCATCATAAATGTTGAATTCAAGTGATCATCTAACACGTACTACTATTTAAACGCTATCATAGTTATTTAGTTAGTATTATAGTTCATTCGATATTATCTTAGCTATTGAATAGATTTGATAGGTTTTGAGAAAAATCTACGCATGCTTTAAATTAATTAAATAGCGAATGATTTTCTAAATTAATATGCTCTTTTTCTTTCCCATTCGACTAACTATTTCGATTTTTTCCTATCAATAGGTATCGAATATTTTTAAGAGCTATGCATCCTAGTAAAATCCCTTGTCTCGGTTGCAGAAAATTCTTCAAGTTGTTGATAAAGAAGATAATGTGCGATCGACAAAGCTTGAGTTCTACATAAGTCAAGCACAAGAAAAAAGGTCGACTTGGTTATGATAATTTTAATAGAACTCTAAGTTTGAATATTTTATTATATTATGAAGAATAATAAAACTAAATATTTCAACAAAGGGAGTAACTATCCAAATCATTGATATTTGAATTCTTTTTTTTTTGTCCAAATCCCTTGCTCAGATAAAATCAGTAATGTTAAACTAATGGTTGGAAAAAATATAGGTGGGAAAGGACGGTTTTGGAGTTGCATTCTATAAGGGGGGGGGGTTACCCGGTACAGACACCCACCCGCCCCCCCCCCCCCCCACCCACCACACACACCCTCAAGATAGATGAGGGGGGTCGATAAGTGTATTTGTCCCAGATCAAGAAATGAAAGAATAACAAAAAAAGAAGACCATTAAACTCATTGGTAATGAGAAAACAAGTCCCTTTGCCAAATCTACAATAAAAAGAAACAAAATAAGCACGACACGACGATAACCATCGAGTGTCCGCGAAAAATAAAAATAAAGACGAGCATGTAGTTCTTCATTGCCCAAGAAGTCTATTGCGTTCTAAATATTGAATAAATACATAAAATAACAAGTGATAAACACATAAGTAACTACTCGCCATCTCGCATAAGTTTAAGTTTTTGATCAAGTTTTGTTCGAAGAATGATTTTCTCGATAAAATCGTTCAGTTGTTGTCCATTAATATGAATGCCTTGCAATAATGCTTGTTTAGCATTATTGATTTCAAGATAGAGCTGGTCGATTTGAATGACGTAATTTTCAATCTAAACAGAAACGTAAAGAGTTAAACTTTCAATTTGAACGAATGAAACAATGCACATTGAGATGCAGACATGCGCATAGTGTGATGTCTAACTTTTTATTCATTGATACATTCGAAGTCTAGATTTTCCTTTGTTGAACGAGACAAAGAAACATCTACTTTCATCCTGTGAAAAAGTAGATGATTCTTTTTTTTAAATGTTCTCATTTTGATATTATCGAACTTTTTTTTCATTCTATATTAGCATGGATGAAAAGAACACAAGGACTGCCTTAAAAATACCTAGCTAGTGAATTTTTATATATGTAAATTAGCCAATTTTTAAATCATGTTTGAAAACTGTATTTTCTCAAAATTTCCTTTGATTTTCGTGTAGAAAAAATTTGCAAGCTAGGCTTTTTTACGGCAATCCTTGCGTTTTTTTCACCCATATTAATATAGAACGCAGAAAAAAAACGTTTGGAAATATCGAAATCCGAGTACACTACTTTGAAAAACAATGAAAACCTTGAACGATGATTCAAGGAATATCTTCAACATTTGAAAGATTTTCAAAGCTTAAAAGAGATTATCCGCTCGCAAAAAATCCTATGTATTTTATATAATATTTTCAGGAATGTCAAAAGTATTTTCGCTTACGAGAAGCATTCTATTTTATCCAAAATTCTTTCTTGATGTGTTAAAATTATATGCGAAAATCTTAGAAAGTTTTCTACATTTCTGAACCTTAATTTGACTTCCAAGAAACATCTAAGATTTCGAATGGCAATCTAGAAACATGTTTTGACATCAAAACATTAGACTATTTTTTCACGTTCTTTAAACAACGAGTTTTTTTTTCAATGGAGGCGGAGATTTCGTGAAGCAGACACTTCTCTACAAAATATGATATTAAATTAAGCTGTAGCTTTTACTCTAGTGAGACTACAAGCATTTTTTCAGTGTAAAACAGTTTTTCATCAAAAAACGAACATTGAAGTGCTTTTTCGAAAGACAAATAAAACTTTAAATAATGCATTTTATAGAGAAGCTTCTGATCTACAAGGTAAAATATAAATAAAGATTGCAACTATTAATCTCGAATCTCAAAAGTGAAAATTCAAAAATTTTCCGTTCAAATTAATTCCTCTTGATTTTCGCAAACATTATTTCACTAAATGAGACGAAATTTCCAAATCCAGATTAGAAAAGAATACATTTTGACTTATCGGAAATAATTTCCTAGTGAGTTAAAAGTGAACAAACATGTTGTCTAAAAAGCTTTTCGAACACTCGTTAGAGAATAATAGGAAAATTATCAAGTATCCACGATGAATTGTTGTCAAGCTATACTGAAAACAAATCTAATATAAAGATTTTTGCATCATCCATTAATTACCTTTCATCAATCGATGACCTATTAACAAATTTACATTCTTCAGCATCACAACATTGTTCTAAAATTGTTGATACAAATAAACGAATAGATTGATCAAAATCTTTTGCATTTGGTAAATGAATTAATGAAAATGCTCGAAATGCATTCATAAATTCTGTACCAGTCGTTTTCACTGTATTAAAAAATATATCAACTAATAGTCTAAATTGATTAAAGAAAATAGCAAAAAAAGAAATTATTTTTCTATTTGAACATACTTATTTGTTTCGAATTCTTTTTGTATAAGACCAAACTAGACAAAAACATAAATATAATCATTTTCTTTTCTACTTAGGTCATACCAAAAGTAGTGGCCCAGATACCTTATTTTCCTATAGAAGGCTTGGAGAAATTTTCTTTTTTCATGAACAGATAGAGCGTCTTTCGCTCTATTTTTCTATACTATTTGATCACTATTCAACTCAAGGGGGAAGTGCAGGTTTGGAACCTCCAGCACCTCCGCACCTTCTCAGCACTTTGGTACTGAAAAAGTGCTGAGGTGCTGAGAGGGTGCGGAGATGCTGAAAAGGTGCGAAGGTGCTGGGAGTTCCAAATCTGCACTTACCTCCTTGGCTTTTCCTATCTCATCCTTTTATAACCTGGTATGTTTTTTTTTAAACAAAATACACTACAAGATGCAGCATGAAAAGCTCTAACATTTACAAAGAACAATTATAAAAAAATGAGATAGAAAAAATCGAATTCGTCTTTTACCAGAAAACAATCTCGTTTTTTCGCAACGTCGAAATTTGATAGCTCAGAGTTTTGTCCATTTTGAAAACAAAAAATGCAACTATAAAATAAGCGATCCTTTCTCAATCGCAGAGCTTTTCACGCTGCATCTTGTGGTATTTTTTTTTTTTTTAATACAACGTAGTAAGTGGCGATAAAATGAAATGCAAAAGCGCCCCATTTTTTATGCCACCCCCATTATGATCTAAATGCTACCTGCTGGTTTTCAACGAAAAACAGTTTTTATCGAAATTTTATTATTATGATATTAGTTGAATAGTGATCAAATAGCATAGAAAAATAGAGCGAAAGACGCTCTATCTGTTCATAAAAAAAGAAAATTTCTCCAAACCTTCTATACGAAAATAAGGTATCTGGGCCACTACTTTTGGTATGACCGAAGTATATAAGATATATCGAGACCGGCGAATAAAAAAGTCAACGAGAACAAATAAATTTCGTCCTGCACATGTGAAATGTGGCGGTGAATTCTACTCTTCTTTTCATCGACACTCACGCCCATCCACATTCTCATTGTAAGTCTATCTTTTCTTGTGTATATCGATTCAGTGCTTTCAATGATGTTATATGTAGCTTTTCAGTTCTTTCATCTTTGTTGGTATGAAAAAGTTTTATGTACTATAAATGATGTCTAAATTTTTGTGAGACTATCATATGAAAAGTAATTATCTACTTGAGCATTATTGTTCTTTAGAAACTCTTGCTATAATAAGGAGTTTCCAACATCTTTCAATCTTAAGATACTATTGGAATTTGAATGAGCTAAATTGACTATTGGAATACAATTTCTTTGAAACTCTGTGACGTATGATAACGACATTTAATGTTCAATCTTCTGAAAAAGCGCGTCTAACTTGAATCAATTGGTTGTTGGGACAAATTTTATCAAATCGGATGGATATCGATGATTTGTTCGATATCATCGAAAGCCACAGTCAGATTAGATTGATGCTTTTCTCTATACCTTTCACCCAGATATTTGCAGCATTAAACATAGATACAATCAGAATTTCATATAGATCCACTCATCCCTGTGATACCAAATGGTCGTTCCAGCAAACTCGGCATCCTGTATATGAATCATTCTTGTCCGTCCACCTTCCATTGAACAAATAATTTTGAACCGTTGTGCAGAATCTCAATCAATCGACGTCCTTATCTGTCAGTTCGACTGATGGTAATGCTGATGGTTATCTTCAAACCTTGCTTGATTCAAACTTTACCCTTCCGATTTATCTCGTTTCAAGGTTTCATACTTTTTCTCTTCTTCTATCAACTCACTGCTTTGATTTCTTTTAGAACAGAGAGACATCTCCTATCCATTCTGGTTTGGTTCGTATTCATCTATGATTGGTGTCGTCAGTACTTACTCGTTTTTACTTTCTGTCTCTGTGGATCACCTGAGCGATATAAGCGAATGACGAAGAAAGAGAAGTGTCTCTTATGTATACCAGCGCCATGTTTCATTTCTTCTCTATGACAATACCCTCAAGCAGATTTTATCATGTCTTCGAGAAAAAACTTGACTTTAATTCGATTGTGGATGCTCATCTTTCGAGTCAACTAAGTTCAAGTGATTTTCGCCGATTGAAATAATGAAATGGAGACACATTACATCCTTTTTTTTATACGGATGCTGAACTGATACTCCATCTATTCTGACTAAACGTCTATTAGTGAAATAATCAACGAGAGGTAACAATCGCACGTCTCGATGATGTGACAAATTATCTGAAACCAGCCAAAACAAATGAGCTGTTTCTTTCCTATTCGTTATTAATAGACATACGTAAATAAATGCATGATATATAACATGCAGTTCTTGTTGCAGCATCTTAGTTGGGTCGTTCTTCAGTGAATAGTTTTCGATGAGAGTGATCTACCGGAAAACAATAAAGATCAGATTTCTCATGTTTCTTTTTCTGTTTTGATTATAGATCAATTATTGCACATTTACGTTCGTATCAAATATCGACGAAATTCGTGCTCGGCATGAATCTTATCCTATTCATATGTTTCGTGTCATACCTCGTGCACTTTAGCGTAGTTTCGTCTTCCCTTCCAGTTCAACTAACTATCAGTCAAGAAAAAAGATTTTTTCCACATGAAATCTCCACGTATACTCAACACGTGAACATTCAAATCAAGACAGGTTCTCATACTGGTGCTCAATCGAAATTGCCACGCGAATTGTTCATCGTTCTGGACTCATCGGGTAGTATGGCCGGGGAAAACAAGTGGGGCAATGCCATATCCGCTATCGAACATATTATTCGGAATATGAATACTGCCGATAAACTACATTTGGTTCAGTATAATTCTGTTTCATCAGTTGTCTTCGAAAATGCCCATGATCAACAAACTATGTTGAAGGCTTTGCATGCACTATATCCATCCGGTGGTACTAATTTGAAGGCAGGTCTCGATCAAGTGATTCCATTATTGAAAAAATATTCCGATCGATCTACTGTCAAGCGATTTTTCATTTTGTCAGATGGACAAATCAATGAAGGTGTAACCGATCACAATCTTTTGTTAAAAGAAATAACAGCTATCAAGAATACGTATGATGTCACGATTTGTTCCTTTGGTATTGGATATGATTTTGATGAAAAATTAATGACAAATATAGCTGATTATGGTTCAGGCGATTATTTTTTCATCAAAGGTCCCGAAAGTATGGAGAAAGTTGTCGGTATTGCCTATCAAGGATTTCAAAATCTCATGGGTATCGATGCCTACTTGAAAGTGACAAGCAAGTATGATACACAAATTGTCGATATTTACGGATACGACATAAAAGAGGAAGAACAACAACAAATAATTCCTATTGGAAATCTTCGTTACAACGATATGATGAATATTCTACTGGAAACGAAAGTGAAAATAACAAAAGAATTACTCGAAAAGCCTGAGATAGATTTCATGATTGCAGAATTGTGGATGACCGATGTCACCGATCGATCGCCGAAATTAGTGGTCTCGAAAACTCTTCTCTTTTCATTAAGTCGAGATGATAAGGAATTAAACGAGTTGAATGAGATCGTCCAACATCTGATCGAATTACAAAAAATTCAACGACGTGAAAGAGAAGTCACGGAATTATTACGAGAAAAACGAGTGAATGATGCATTCGATCTATCACAGTTGCTAGCCGCTCAAGTACAAAAGGTACAGGACGAACTAGCCCATGTGACAGTATCAGATGATGACATAGAGACATTAGGATTTACTCAACGCAAAGTAAACACGATTGTTAGACGATCAATGGAAATGAAGAACACCTTTCAAGAAGAATCGGAAAACAGTGAAAAGATAGCTATGGTACATCACTATTACCAGCAATTGAACGATAAACATAGCTCTGCCCATGAAGATTTGTGATTTTCTGCTACCTGTTCTTTGACTCTATCTACTCACGGATGCGTTCAATCATATGTATATCAAACGAATTTTTTTTTTCAATATTTTTTGTTTTAAATGACAATTTCATTGATGTAGAAAAGAACCTTTCATCAACTCGCTGTCGTAATTTAATTCAGAATAAAATTCGTATATTTCAAAGCATTTTCTTCAGTTTGAGTGCAGATATTTTAAAGGATCAAAATTTATGTTTTGAATAACGAATATTCTACGATATGGTGTGCTTTCTTCGTACAGAATGCTTATAGATCGCATGATCTAAACTATACCTGAGTGAGAATAGCGATGTTTGTGATTAAAAAAAAGGTATTGAGTGAATCTGATATATGCATCATTTCGGATGCGAGCTTCGTTCTGACAGAAAACATCTCACTAGAGCAGAATCCAATCGGCAGGAAGCTATTATAATAACGAGCAAGACTTTAATGCACTGCTTTCAATATCAGTAAAAATTTTCTACATTGTATTCTAGCCGTGTATAACTTTAGTTAATCGAGAAGGAGAACAAAAATAAACGAATAGATGTCTCTTGTAAAATTTTTCATTTATATAGCGCGCCATGTCTAAGTAAAAAGGTATTATAATTGAATGAGCAATCACAAGATTCGCAATACAGCAATCAAGGACAACATAGAAAAAAAAATGAATGATTGCATGATTGTACCTTTCATCTCTATGATTGGCGAGCGCTGTCTTATAGGATCATATCGCTGTCAAGTTAATATGTCATCGATGAGGATTAAAAACCAAATACGAATAAATGATACACAGGTGGGCCACGTACTGAAATATTAGACTACTGTCACATCAAATCATACCATTGTAAATTGTCGATCTTAGTATATTGTTTTCAACTATTGCTTTGAAAAAATGTAAGCAAACTTCGATCTATTATGGGCACGTTGAAGTTATCCCATCGATCTGAATGTGGTGACAGATAGCTAGACAAACGTTATAGCAATTTCGGTCTAAATATTACAAAATTTTCGTCAATGTCCTAATCAAAACATTCATTTTCTTATTGATCGAAAATAAAAGTATTTTTTCGTTCATATATAAATACGTGTAGAACTCAGGTTAATCAAAATAAATATTTTCATAGAATATAGACGTCGAGATTTTTTTGTTGAAAATTATATAAGTGGATAATTCTTTGTTTGACTCTTCAAATAGCGTATTGGAAAAAAACTAAGTCTATCTGCTGATCTTTATCTAGAGTTTGAAATGATGCAAAAAATTGTAGAAATCGAAACAAATATGAAGAAATAGTTATGGATCAAACATTTTCGACTACTTAGTTCAGTTGCATCTTCTTTTACAAAATCGTAAGGCACAAAATACATTTAATATTTTGCGGAGATCTGAATCTCTAATTAATATTGCCTCGAGATAGATTCATAAATCAATTGAAATTGTATGTTGTAGGTAACATAGCAATGTTGCCATCGATATAGTCGATCATCGATACGTAGAGTAATGATATACTATTGATATTGAAGTTAGTTCATGTTTACTTGTGGAACAAAACCAGAAACATGTGTTTTGACTATCATTTATATCGTTTATTTATCTCTTGTAAATTACATTGCAGAGCTGTTCGGTATTTACCAGATCTCTAGAATTTTGGTGAAACAAGACGAAAAAAAGAGAAATACTGGCGCAATAAATTTATAGTTTTTAATGAGCTCATAGAAGTCGAAGTAATCACCGTTCAATGAGATCTTTGTAATGAGTTCACAAAAATGAAATTAATTCACCACGTGTTTGAAGAAGAGATATAGTGGTCGATATTTTTCGTCGTTATAGTAAAATACGAAAAGTGCGGAGTCATTTTTAGGGTGTCTGTATTTCATGACATACCGTTTTATGTATGAGTGCCTGATAAAAATAAGTCATGTACGGTTCGAAAGAGGAAAAAATCTCTTTCCAGAACAGAGTCTATGAAGAAATACAAAGACCGGCATCTGTACTATTACGTTTGTATCGTTCGCTATAGAAAATGAACTCAAATTAATATGCTCGTAAGACATGCTGATAGCAAATTTGAAATAGCTAAGCAGCTCTAGAGAATAGCTTTGACATACTCTTAAAGCGTGCTGAAGTACGAATGAAGCAGGTTACGGAGTTTTCGCCTTTTCCCTTTTGGTTCCCCGTAATAGTTAAAATGCTCCATCGTGTTCAATATTTTAATCCAATAGGAATTGCACTGATAGTTTTTTTCTTTATTATGTATTTCTATAGGTTTTCTTTATTTTGGCATCGATCGGTGGGAATAAACCAAAATATTTCAGGATTCATGGGGGACGGAGAGCGAACCCCGAATTGCTACTCGCGATGTCCCTGACTGAACCTCATTCAATTTTAAAATGTTCCGCCGCCGCTGTATTTTATAAAAGCTAAGAACGTAAAAGTAGTAAAAAGTGTTTTCCCTGTATGAACAAATAACATTCGCACACTAGAAGAGTGCATCAACTTTGCACAAAATTCTAATGCTTCTGGCGGCGAGTGACTTCTTTAGTTTCATTTGAATGTTGGATAGGGTGAATATTTTCTACTTGTATATCTAATATATAGAAGCAGTATTTATTCGAAAGTGTGGTATATCAACGACACAAGTCGTTTTAATATCATTTTTCAAGCCGATGCATTCATATATGTCTGAATTTCTAATTCTCGATTATTTACTTCTAGTTCAAACGAAAGTCAAAGAAATAGAGTTTTAATTTTCAATTCAATAAACTGAAAATTTTGTTTTGAAGTGTCATTGTTACATAATCACGGTATCCAAGCACACTACAATATATTTTTCCCTAGAGAGTGATTTTGGATGTTGGTGATGTGGATGCTTTTGTCTTTGAATACGAGTTTCACACACATCGACATTCACATTTGCATTCACACCAACAAACTCATGAAGGCATAAGTTAGCTTAAGACACGCCAACGAAAACACATACTGAAAGTGTAGAATAGCGACAGTAGTTACAGCGAAACAGTTCAATCATCTCGTCACGCACGTTCTGGATAAATGGCTCATCGGTCGTTTAGTACTTTATAACTTTTCGCATGGCATTCTTTCTATCCAATATATCTATCTTCACACATGACTTTCTCTGAAGTGGACATCTCTCTTCTGCAGTTAAAGTCTTATCTTTCCTTTCATATCACTGTTTTTTTAGGAATAACAATTCCTTTCTTGATCAGCAATGACAGTACAAGATGCAAAAGTCAAACATCGAAAAATATTATTGTAAAAAAATGTGTATCTATCTTTTGTTATCAATACTTTTTTCGACTATATTCAATAAAACCTTTGAATTGTCGTTTTGTCGCCTGTTGCTTTTCGTGTTTTGCTAATGTATTTTTTCTTCGCTAGATATGAATCATAACGTCATTTTTCATGAATAGGTTTTTCTTTATTTGTTGATTTCAGCTAAAGGCAGATTCAAGAATAGATTATAGGAATTGAGACACTGCTGCATCCGATTCAGATGTTAATCATTTTCTGCGATTTTCATTTTTTATTTCCTAATCAATTCTGTGAGAATGATGTTCAAAAATCAAAATTTATCTTGTAAGAAAATCATCTTCAATACAACATTTATATCATCAATGTGGAGCAGTGTACCCTCGTATTTTACAAGTGAAACACTTTTCGAATAATAATATTGACAGTGTTTTTTGCAGAAAGAAACTCGAATATTCGCTAGGGAAAAATCTAGAAATTCAATAAAGGAAATGATTAAAACTTCTTTAATTGCACTGATTGTCGTTGGCTTAGTAGTAAGTGAAAATGATACAAGCAACTAAAAAGCATCGGAGTTGGTCATATTATAATTGAATGACAATTACAACATTATCACTGATCAAAAATAAATATCTTCAATACACTTTCTCAACGATCGGTTGGACATCCGCATCGTTAATGCATATTTCATCCGATGCACTTTTGTACCTTTCGACATTCGAGAACATGTGAATACGATTTAAAATATTAATTTAATATCGTATATTCTTCTTATTAAAGAAGCGCAAGCAAAAGTAAACATTCAATCGCTTCTATGCTATGCCATCTTTGTGTATTTCAGTCAATATGATTAAAATAACAAAGCAATAAACTCAAAATAACCACATATATTTCAATGGCAAGATTTACGAAACAGAAAAACATTGAGTATTATAATAAGAATCAGATTTACATATTTGGTAACAGACGAATGTCCCAGCCTTCGTCACGTGAAATTGTCTATTGAAATAGATCTTAAGACCCCCTTGAAATAAGCAGTCATGTCCGTAAAACATGACTTCATTTAGCAGAGTAAAATACTTGCGTCTTTAATCATACAAATATCTTCTATTAAAAAAAAACAATGTTTATGAATTTTTTCCTCTTCCAATACATGTAACATTGAACTTTTGACTATTTTTGTTCGTTCTGATTAGTGTGTGTTTTTCCAAAGAGAAAAGCAATAAAAGGAGCGCTGCTCTGAAAAAGTACTGTTTGAACTGATGTAATAAGTTTGAATTTTCACAAGATTTAACCGTTGAAAAACGAGCAAAGACTGTAAAATTACCCTATAGTTTTGAAACAGAAAACCGAATAAATCTCTTAAATAAGTAATTTTTTTTCGAGGGGTAAGAAGAATTCTGTACACATTTGTGACTAAATTAATTTAATTCCAGATGTAAAAAGTCACTTTTCACACTCTTCTAAATAAGATTTCTTCTTACCACTTGTAAAATAAATGGTCTACGTCTTTTTTCCAACAGACATCTATTTTCCTAAAAGAAAATCCAAATTTTATTCAAAACAAAACTGCATTATACCAAAATGAAAGAACATACAGTATACTCCTGTCATTATTTTAATAAGAAATATTTGCCATAGTTTCATTTTGTTGCTTCGTTACCGTTGATCGGAGGATCAATAGTCATACAACCAGCCAAAGAAGAATTAACACGATCTTTGGATTCTACTGATCTTGTATCACTATTTGTTGAACCATCTTGATGTTCCACAGTTGTACCAGCGCCCATTTCACGTAATTTTTCATTTGCAATATCGCTACCTTTTCGTGGGAGAGAATAACTCATTTGTGCGCAGAAAAGAAAGTGTGATAATAAGTGCTCAATTATCTAGTTATGATTACTTGTACGGCAGAAATAATAAAAAACAGCAGTTAGCTTTTTCTCGTTCTCTTTCGCTACGATATGGATGAAGAAAGTGTGTCGTGAAGGATGAAAATATTTTCTCCCAATATTCCATAATAGTCGAGAAAATATGTATACGTATGCCGTTCTCCCCCTGCACTCGAAATCTATAAAGTAGTTTTGAGTCCACTGTATACCTAGTATCGCCGTCGTACTCGTTCAGTATCGAGGACCTAACAGATACTGTAAATAAATCATTGGTGAAGGTGTGAGTGTGTATGTATTTGAGGTTCGGGGGTGCAGACCTTCACACCTACACCCCGAATTCTAATTGATTAAACAATAATAAACGTGAGCTGAAAAGGCTATAGAAATAGGAATAGAAAAATGCTTTTTATATAATCTGGGAACATCACATCATGAATGTTTAGCTCAACGTGGTCATATCCACACTTAAAAAAAAACAGAAGTTTTTTCTCACAAAATCAGTAATTCCCCAGGAAATTCTACCAAATAATCAGAAGATCTTTATCGAAATGAAGAAATGATACATGAGAAAAAAGAAAAACAGTTCTTATATTCTATCAACCATGTACAATTTGACGAGTTCGATAACTATTCTCTTCATATGTTGACAAAAAATGTTTTGTTTCTTCCACGGATCATGATGTAGCGATTGCCGACTTGAATTATCTTTCGGTGAGATAGAATCAGCATTTTTATACGTTTTGGTATACAGTAGACTCTGTCTTTTTATCTACAGTTGCAAAGTTCCTGATATAGAATGGATTTATGAAATTTATCATCTTAGTTTTAGAGAACTCAAAAAAAAACAATATGTTTTCTTATCGATTCCTGTATCCATCAAAGAATACAATAGTTGTTTTCTTTTGTTTTGTTTCGTCTTATTGGTTCAATATGACACTAATACTTAATGATGATACCATTTAAAACCAGAAAAACTAGGAGAAAAAATGTCAAAAATTAGCTTCTAGATCCAGGAGATTTTCATGAGGAGAAAAATCTAAAAAACAGAAGTCTCTCAACTATATGAGACGATTTGGTAGCCCTGTACATATCCTACAGGATGTTGGCGTGGGCATGATGTACCTGTAGATGAGATCTCTATTCTACTCACACAGCCACCCTTACATTTTAATCCCGCAGAGATTGCAATAACAGCGATTTTTATGAATAGATTTCTTGTCGTTTTCTTCATGAATCTAGACTCGAAGTTTTACAGTTATTATATTCAACAAAATAGTTTCATTCAATAATGATTTATTAAAATTAAAAAAGAGCTTATCCAAATGATTATTATTCTTATTATTTCTTTATTAGAATATATGGCGTCATTTGTTTCGAACAAGTCACTATTTAAATGTTCTTTCTCGTTAGCATACTTTCATCTAAAATTTTTGCATAAAACTCAGTACATCGTTGAACATCTGGATCTTGACGAATTTGAAAATAGGGCATATTTGAATTTCCTTCTATTTGCTGTTTACATGATGTAAAATAAATTTCTAAGAAATTTTCTAATTGATCAATTGTTTGTTGAAAAAAAATCATTGGTATTTGATGTAAAATACATGTTTCATTTGAAGCTAAAACAAAAAAACATGTCAAAATTAAATCAAATCAAATTTGTGACATTTTAATTTTTACTGTCAATCGATCCATATTGAAGATAATGTGAAAATTTTGTTCGAATATCTTTTCCTCGAATATTTTTTGGTAATTTTGAATAAATACGTTCAAGTATAGGTTTTATTAAACTATTGAATGTTATTTGAGTTTTATCTTGTTCCATCGTAGTATGTTTGCCAATTATTGGCTCTAAGAAACAAAAAATAATGAAAACAGCTCTATCGAAATATATAATAATTGTTTTGCCATGAGTAGTTGGAATTGATCGATTATCGACAGTATTAACTCTTGTTGATATGTTCATACGATCTCAATAAAAGACAAAAAAATGAATGAAATATCAGAAGATTAACTTTTTTCTTTTTACCATTCACTTGTCGAAAACCATCAAAATCATTGTAGCAAAACATTGATTGTATTAAGTGTTCAACAACATTTGGTATTAAACCAATTAATGATTGATAAATAAAACGAACATTTTGTTGTTGTAGTATAATTAATGATGTCGTATTGTCTTTTTCTTCCATATCCATTGATTGAGGTTCCGGTGAAGATGATGCATATATATCATTTAAAGCAATTGTTTGATCAAGAAAGTTTGAATTAATTGGTTTTGCTACTTGTTGTTTAACAACAACAAAACAATTATCTTCACTACCACCAAGACCATAACGTGTAAAATGTTTTACCATAAATGTCCATGAACCATCATTTATACCATAATTAATAAATTCTCCATCAAAGTTTTTTGTTACTGCACGTAAATAATCACTATAATTCATAGCTTTAATACGTTCAACATCAGTTATTTCGTTTCGTGTCGTTGGATCTGTTGGATAAACACCATATAGTGTTATATGAGCTGGAATATTTAATTCTTTACCAACAGGTGGTTTATTATTATCATCAGGATAAACTGTTACTTCATGGCGATCAATTTCAACTAAACGAAACAGAAAATTTATATAATTTAAATTATAAAAAAAAAAATTCTCTTTTACTAATTCGATCAAGATCAAGACCGGTAACATTGACTTGACCATAGAATGTAACTGAGCCATATTTTTCATGTCCCACTGTAAATTGTTTTACAATACATTGACCTTGATCATCAAATGATGATTTTAATTCTGACATAGATGGTTTCATATAATAATATTCACGTANGAAGCACATTTCTAAGCTTATAACTTTCTTACTACATTAGCTAGCGGGGTCATTCAACAGTCATTTTGTAGAGCGTCTTTTACTGCATCTTTTCTTCATAGAAACAAATTTACAACCATGTGTTTCACTATAGAAAAATTTATTATACAAATCGAGTCAGGACTTCTGGCTCACCCTTTATACTGTTTGTTCACGCAATCACTGCTCACTAGAATATTCTCTTCTCATTTGTTCGCCCGCTTTGTTTAACTAGATTAGAAAAGAAGAAAGAAACAATCAACAGACAGACAAGCTTAAATTGGTTCTCAATGGTTATCAAGATTTTACTTTTTTCTATTCATTAAAAAATTACTTCAATTTGGTCTAGTCGAAATTAGAATTCTAATTTCGTCCACAAACATTTCAGTCGAAATTAGAATTTCAATTTGGTCTAGACGAAATTAGAATTCCAACTTCGTCTGGACGAATTTAGAATTGGGCTGAATTCTAACTTCGGCCACAACATATATATATATATATTGATATAAACTTACAATTAATCGAGTTGTACTTGAACTAAGTTGTTTAAGTAATGAAATAGCTCGACATAAAACAATATAATTACATTGTTCAGTTGCATAATGAAATACACTCGAACCAATATTATCTTTACATGTTAATGATAATGGATCATGTTCCATTAATAATGTTGCTGTTGATGTTGATTCAGATTCAATTGCACAAAGTAATGGTGTTTGTCCTCGTGTGTTTAGTAACATATTAACATGTGATGTTTCACTGATCAAGATACGCATTATTTCTTCATGTCCAAGTCTAGCAGCAAGATGAAGTAAAGTTTGACCTTGACTATCATCTGAATCTGTACTGTCATATCGTTTTAGAGATATTGTATGATCAACTGCAGTTGATGTTACTAATCCGGCAGTTAATTCAATGATCGGTGCTGAAACAATAGAAGAAACGGTTGTATTTTGTAATAGATTTTTTTTAGCACGAGCAATTGTTTCTTTATATTTTTGACGTCGATTAAGTGTTGCACGATGATCAAATTGTTGATCGTCATCATCCCAATCTAATGAATTATCAGCTATAGGCTTTGGTGGATTTATACGTACAGAAGCATTTCTTTTAATTTTTGATAATTTATTATCACTTGAAGATTTTGTTTGTTGACTAATTGGAGTGTTTGGTTCAGAATGCGAATCAGATTGTCTTGGAAAATGTTCTTCATCGATCGACGCTTCGAATGGATTATGTGGCCGTGGTAATTTTGGTGAAATAATAAAAAGTTTACCTGTCATTTGAGTCTACTACGTACAAAAATTTTTAAAAAAAAGACAAGACATAAATTTTTGAAATAATGTAATAACTATTTAAGTTTGTATGTTTTTTTTTCTTTTGATTAGTAATTGATCATCTTTTTCTCTCATTTGTTTTTTCACAATAAATATGTATGAAGTAATAACATTTTAGACATTTTTTCTTTATCACAATCATCTAGTATCAGAAGGCTTGTAGAAATATTTGCATCACGTTTTATCAAAGGTTTATAATAAACGTTCATTATTTGTTTTTAAATCGTTTATGCAAGAGAAACTCATTGTTGATTTCATTGTAAAGAAAATTGTAGCGACAAAAAGAAATTGATTGAAGGATCAAATAAATGTTATGCGCAATGAACTCTCGATTTTGTTTCAATAAGGATACGAAAAAAGAGAATAAAAAAATAAATGACATTATGAAGAAAGAAAACAAGGAGTATGTTTTTTTTCTTCTGTTTTTTAAACCTTCCTTTGTCAATATTAACTTGTTAAAAAAAGAACTATGAGAAAAATTCATTCTTTTATTCATCATATGTTCTATTTCTCAACGACATGTAATAGGTCTTTTGCTTACGTTTCTTTTTTTATATTGAAGAATTGATCTGTTAATTTAATGAGTAAAACTATTCTTGACTTTCCTTTCGTTGATGTCACACGTAATCGTATGTTGATATATTTGTCAACGTCATTCACACAGAGAAACACTTGGATAGATTTTGTACTAAATGAAAAAACAATCTATATAGAACGAATAGGTTCGCTTTTTTCTTTTATGTCATTTAGGACAATGATGGGTAGGTTGATGGAAGATAATGTTAGATTTCCATATCGATGATACGTGGTAATGACGTACTTGCTTATCATTATCTTTCTTTATCGTTTCTTTTAGTGCTTAATCATAATAAGAAATAACTTCCAGACTTCTTGACCTTATTTTTATTTCTTATTATTCAGAAAAGAAACATCTCATTATGTACATATAAGGAAAAAAAAAACACGATGAACTATGCAAAAGCAACTGTATCTGATCGTCGTTGAAGACGATAATGTTTTCGTCGTTCATTTGTTTTTTCATCTTTTTTTCTTATATGATTATCACGATCACTTGATGTTCGTCGTAATTGTGTTGTTCGTTTAACATTAATCATTGGCATTTGTTCATGATCATTATCAATAGAAGTTTTGACTTTTTGTCGATTAGGTCGAAACAGTGCTCGTAAATGTTGTAAAGCTTTCCGACGTGATGGATATTGTCGACGTTGAACAGTACCAATTGTTTGACTGCGTTGAAGTTTTGCTCGATGAGTTAATATAGGTGTTGTTGGACAAACAACATCCGATGTTTCAGCATCTCTATCATCATCACTCGATTCATCATCATTAACATCAGGCTATTAAAGAGATTAAAAATAAATATGCAGTTAATAAGTGTAAAGCTGTATTAGTCATATTTTTCTTGAAATAAAAAACAAAATTAAGTGTAACATGCAGTAATACGAATTATACAGATTTGTTTCCTCCTACTCTTATTAGTAACTGTTAAGTTTATTTTAGCTTAATTAAACTTACATGTGTTTTATTTTTAATCTAAGAATGCGTAAGTATACGTTCATCCTAGAATGAATTATTCGTTAACAAAAAAAAGAAAATCCTTACATGTATATCTGTCTTTCTTTATCTATACATATTAAATAATACAACATTATTTATTCCAAAACATAAGAAAATTGTATTAAAAAAGAATAAAACTAAATGAATTAAGAAATTTTTGAACGAATATAATGAAAAGAATTTTAAAAATTTTTTTATTTATATTGACAATAATTCTATGTAATATGAAATCTATTCAATCAGCAAATTTCGTTTTTTTACACTGTCGTATGTGATAGAAAGAATCTAAATAAAGAAAATTGTTTTCAAAAGGAATATAAGGAAATAAAAATTATTGATGAGCTTCTCAGAAGAAAGAAATTTCAGAAAATCAAAAGACTACTTTTTTCAACATCGAGAACAAGTAAATATAATTTTATTTAAACTACATAGAACGATAAAGTAAACAATTCTCTACAAAATAAAACATGTCCGACATTTTTTTAGCTGAAATATAACAATTTTACACAAGTTTCTAAAGTCATTTTTTTTTTACTTGTTATCAATTTTGCTATATTTGAATTCTTTCTATCATTTACGACAGTGGAAAAAAAAATTTCAAATAAACCTTGTTGAATAATTTAGATACTCACTGTATATACAGACTTAAGGATATTATTCGAAATATTACTCACTAGACTTATAGCATCTGTAGGTCTTGATGATTCATCAAGTTCACATGCTCCTATTGTTGAACTTATACGTTTTTTATTACGTTGTTGTTGTTGTGTCGTTATTCCAGCTGTACTATGTCGTTCATGTTTACCACCCCAACGTAATCGATTAACATTTTTAAAAATATTTCTTGATTTTTTCGTTAGATTTTCATTTACTCCTCCATTATCTCCTATATCTGAACTATAACTATTAGTTCCAATACTATAAATTCCATTCTTATGATTTGTTGAAAGACCATCTGTATGACTAATAACATCTTTAAGTTGTTGTCGATCAGAACTACTCACTCGACTTCTTATTGGTTGAACTTTTTTAAAATCATTTGAAGCTCGTGGTAATTTTCTTTTTGCTTTTAATATAATATTTTTTCTTGAATTAATACATCGAATATATTCTTCACCTGATGCATGTAATACAGGTACACTACCAATTGATGTTGAATTTGTATTTGTATCTCCATAACAAGCTAATTGTGTTAAATCATTTTGTTCATTTGAACCATTTTGTTGTTGTAAAACAGGATCAATAATAACATGAATTATTTCTTTCCAAGCAATATGTGGTTGCCAATCAGGATTAGTTGAATTTTGATATGTTTTATACATTGATGTTTTCATATTTGTCATTAATTGATCAAATGCAACAGCTAAATTTCTTACAACACAATAAGTTAAAATATTATGTCGAATATCACTTGGTTTTGTTCGACATGAATCATAATAAATTAAAGCATGATTTTTAATTAAATAATCAAGTTCAATTTTTGAATTACGACGTACACAACAAGCAAATGCATGAACAAATATTCGTTGTATAGTTGCTGAATTTTCTTCAATAAATGGATCACCATCCAATTGATAATAATGACTTAATGTTGTACATAAAGATAAAAATGTTGTACAATTATTTTTTATTTGTAAAATACCATCTAAATTATATATATATACATATATATGATCTACACGTACTTTAATTAGCTATAATTTTTTAACTTACCAAAACAATTTTCTAAATGTTTTTCAGCAATTGTACCCCAACGATGAAGATGACGACGTTTAAAAAAAGAATCAAATATTGTATTCATCATAATTGTTGAATCTGTCATACATGATATATAAAATGGTGTTTGATAAGCATTTACTAAAGCATCAGCAAGTGGATCACCAAATGAATCAAAAAAATAATAATCAACTTGCATATATAATGATTCACCTGTTTCTGAACTTAAACGATATCGAACAATAACTTCCCATGTAACATCACTACGTTTACGTGATGATATAATATCACCATCGGGATAAAGTATTGTTGGTCGACAACCAAGAGCATTTTCTAAATCAGAAAAATGTTCTTCAATATTTTCACGTAATAAATGAAAATCCCAACGTGGATATTGAATAAATATATCACGAAGAACTAAAACAGTTAAAAGACAACGAACACTTATTGTTGTTACATGTTGATGATCATCATCAGATTCAGCTGATTCATCATTTTTTGATGTATTTAATGTTGCTAATGAACCTGATACACGACTAGATATTGGTTTAACATCTTGATTAACAATAAAACCATCAAATTGATAAAATATATATGCTGATGGTCCTTCAGTTTCTGTATCACGATAAACTTGTACACTTTGAAAATGTGCATAATCATTTCTATGCATATAATTAACAACATGATTAAGAATACATTCATGATTAAGACCATCATATTCAAAAAGATGTGATTCAAGTAATATTTTAACAATATCTTCATAATCTATTCGATTTCCACAAGTTGCAAGACATGCAAGAATAAGTGGTGATGATATAAGCATTTGTTTTGTATCATACATATGTAAAACTTTATCAATAAATTCATCACGTTGAATTAAAGGTAATGAACTTAATTCAAGTTCATCAGCATCTGGAATATCATTATCATTTGTATTATTTATGCTATTATTATTATTATTATTATTATTATTATGAATATTTCCTGATAATGATGGTTGATCTTTTGGATCAATATTTGATCGTAATTTATTTTGAAAATATTGTTCTGCTAATAAATTTTTATGAATATCAATTGATGATGATTGTAAACGAGAATTTTTATTTTGTTTTGTTGTATGTGTAGTATGTTCGACACCAAATGTTTTAAGTATGTATTCATTTGGATTTCTATCAAATAATTCTTGTTTAAAATTTGGTATTAATAATGAAAGTGTATTAAAATGTATTGATAATGTTGGTGATGTTAATGCATCACATATTGTTTTAACAGTATCTTTATCTCCAACATAAGATGCATAATGTAATGGTAACCATCCACGTTCAGTTGTTAAATTCATTGATAAATCTAACCAATTAATATTTTCACCAAAAATTTTATTAAGTAAATTTGTTTTTTTATGTGCAATTGAAAAATGTATTAAATCACAACATAAATTTTGATATAATTTCATAAATGATGATTGAAATAAATGAAATATTTTTAAATTTTCATTTAATATTGGTTTATCAATTTGTTCCATATATAAATATGTATGTAAAGGTGTATAAAATTTAAATAGACCATGTATGGGTGAATGAAGATATTGTTCTTCTAATTGAACACCTTCTTCAATTAATATTGATATCGTTACATTTGTATCAATGAATTGTTCAAGTGCAGTTAATATATATTGACGTGAATTATCTGTATCAATTGTTAAATGTTTCGCTGTAAGAAATTTCTTTTTTATACGATAATACCAACGCCATAATGGATAACGATCACGTTGATAACCATGTGAATCATATAATAAAAGAAGAAGAAAATGAAGATTATTAAAATGTACTGGTTTTCGTATAAAACCACTTTCAAGTTTTTCTAGAAGTTCATTTAGAAGATTATAATTAAGTTCTTCATATGGTATTTCTTGTGGACCAAGTAGTGATACTGGAGTTGAAACACGATCTAAATGTAATATATATATATATAAATATATTCTTAAATTAATCAATAAAATATAACAAATATAAAGAAGAATTTTTCAGATAATTAAACAATGTGATATTAAACCGACCTTCTTCATCGATCACAACGATCATTGGTATCATCATGAACTAGAATAACTTAACTACTACGATTATGACAATTATTCTAATAAATATAACTATAACTTTCCTATTTGTTACTATCAGTTAGATGATAATAAATGTATGTGTAGAGACAGTGATGATTGATGTCATTGAAGTTTTGTTTTTCTCAAATGACGAACAAAATTTAGCGTATAGTAGATCAAAGAAATATGAAAAAAAATGGTAAGCATACTCATTGTATCTATTATCATATATCAGCATGAATATTACACTTACATAATGTTAAATAATCTTTATTTAAATCTTCAGCAGATGCATGAAGACGTAGTTCGTTAGTCATTCGTAGCACGGGTTAATATTAATCATAGATGAAGACGACAAAATCATTATTATTTTCAATATATTACGCTTGTTCTTTCCGCTATGAGTATTGAGTGCATCTCATATTCACTATCAAATTGATCTTATCATCATCATCTTCTTTTTTCTTTCTTTCTTTCTGTCATGCCGTTATTTAGAGTAAAAATTCTGACACAATACGTGAGATTATTTTTCTTTTGTCCTTTATTCTCTTGGTTTACTTGTTATCTATTATTCGTATGCTATTTCTATGGTCAAACTATAATTTAGGTAAATCAACATATATGTTTAAAAGAATAATTATAATGTAAAAAAAAAAAAAAAGAAAAGACGAAATTTGCCATTTCTCGAAAGACCTTCAAATTAACAAATCACATTAAAGGATACAAATGTTACCAATTAAGTATGCTAAAATGATAGCATATGACAATTCTTATTAAAAATATGATTAATATAAGACTTTTGATAGAAAAAAAAAGAGAGAAAGAGAGAGAACAACTATTTTCATCTATTTGGCATTACTGATTAAATACACATACTTTTATTTGGATCTTGTTGTTCAGACATTCTTCTCGCACATATTAGTGCACCTTTTTGACTTACATCGATTGACTGCCTCTATAAAAACGTCAATGGAAAAATGAAATAAAAAAAAAAAAAAAAAGAAAAGATAATTAAATAGATATACACACACCCTTATATAATGTATATAATCATGTATTACGTTCTGATGCAATCATCCGTGCAAATGTATGAACTATATTACTTAGTATACATGCATAGTTGGTTCATTCAAACTCACTCTTAATTTTCCTGGTTGACTTGGTAGTTGTATCATTTTCTATGAATAGAAATATTGTAAACTACGACTTATTTGTTTCTACTTTTAAGTTATGTGTCATAAAAGAATATTATAACAGACTTCTAGCTCATATCTGATAACATTAAATGCTGACAGAAATATGTCTTAATCGTATGAAATTGTATTGCCCAACAACTATAAATTGTCATGTACGTACGAATAACTATGAAAAAATAAAACAAATTGTGCTATAAATCAACACTGCCCAAGCAAGGATAAAAATAAACTGAATTTCTTTAGTATTCAAGTATTCTTTATTCTTAGAACTATATGAATGATATATAAGTGTTGACAATGATGCCAAAAAAGAAAGATAATGCAATAATTAAATATAAAAAAAAAATAGGAAGATTATCAGTCGATATTTTTGACTTTATTCTTCCCACATTTTTTTCTTTTCTCTTGCCAAATCGTAAACGATAGTTTTTTTTTTTTCGTCTTGAAATTCATTCAAGATTCTTGCAATGCTCTTTGTCAGAATTGAAAGATAATATAATCATCCTTTGTTTCTTATATGTCTATATATTTTACAGTTAATATACTAAACAAATAGATTAAGTTAACATTTAAATAAACGATTTTATTTATTCAAAAGTTTATTTTTATTGATCTAATCGATGAATATTTTATTAAAATGGCTATAAACTTTTGTTCTGTTAATTATTTTGTTGTTGTCTGTTATGATCTAACTAGGATTTGGACAGGAGGGAAGTTCAGATGGCCGAGTCTTGTGTAATGAAGATAGTGTGAATTCGATCAAGGGAAAGGAGAGTCAGTTTCCTCTTTGCATACGTCGCTCATATTATAATTTTATTCATTCTTTTTAATACTTGCAATTCCTAGGAAATTTTTAACAAAATAAAATAATAGTACAAACGAACTTATAACAGATCAATATTGATTATGAGAATACAATGAACAAGAGTCTTGAAGGGTTTTTCAGCAGAATTTGGAAAGAATAGAGACTAAAATATTGACTTGTGATCTTTTTAATTAAAATATGTTTTGAAGAAAAAAACAAACAGAACAAAATTTTCTTATCTTTTTTTTTTTTCGATTAATAATTAATACTCTAATATTTTCATGTGTCAAAAATATGATCACAGAAACAGCATTATAATCTTTTCTAAAAATGTGTTCAAGCTTACGCAATTCTAGATTTATTATGAAGTCTAAGTACAATTTATTATTCGATTAAATCTGTTTAATTATTTACTACTTAGATTATTCTAAGTATTCTTAGTCGATAAACTGATTAAGATAGAAATAGAAATAGTCTTTTTAAAGTGCAAAAAAAGAAACTAAAGATAAATCATTGCAGATACCTACTTAGTTCTTTTTTTTTTTTTTTATATTATTAACAAGTTAGACAAGTTGTTCGTTTTTTTTTTCTCATGCATCTAATAGTTTCATATTATAAACAAAAAATAAATAATTTTTAATTAGAAATAATTTTTTACAATAATTTTACTTTGTTAAATTTATTGAAATGCAGTTTTTTATTTCTTTAAATTTGATTATTTGATAAATACATATTTTTTATTTTTCATGGTCAAGTCATTTAAAACAAAATGTGTTAATAGTTCTTAAATCAATGTTTTCACTTGAATATATTCACATTCAATTCAATAATATCCAATATCAGTATAAACTAATGTTATTACTTCTAATATAAATAGACGAAGAATAATTAAGCTGAAGATATGTCGAATTATCTCATACATTGATATTTGAAATAAATATCAAAATCACCAAGTATAAAGATCGATGTAGACAAATCAATATAAATTTGACATAGTTTATTCCATACATAATGTAACAAAATTTTCTTGTGTATTAAAGAAAATATGGCCAATTAGTTTTTTGACATTCTGAGTATTGTTTAAGTTTTGTATTTGTATAACTGATATTTATATGTTTGCTATCAAGTGCATCAATGTGTCTGATTGAATAGCGTTGAAGTATTTCTCTACCCTATCATCGATAGAATAGATAAGGAGAAATTCAAAGAGATCATCACCAATTTTCAAATCTTTATTCAATTACATATATCCTTATCAGTTGTCATTGATAACGATGTTATCGCGAAATAATTTGAACGTATCATATTAAATTGAGAGATGTAACATGATTTTCGTCACTGATTTTTAACTAGTATAATACTATTTGAATAATTAAAATATTTTATTTATTAGATGATCATACATGAAACTAAATTACCGAAAAATATAAGTTGTAATCTTGCAACTATGTCTATTTTTTAAATGTTTACTTGGACAGTTTATATTTATGCATGACGCTGCAAACGAGAAAAATACATTAAAGGTCATGAATCAAAGAAAGAAAAGCATAAATGTAGCGAAGATAATAAGTAATTAACACTGTTCTTAAGCGATGAAAAAGTGAAACATAATGAAGTTGTTGAAATGATGAATGAAAACATTTCCTAACATATATTTCAATTTGTCAACTACTTCTTAGTGTTAATATGTGTCGATGATGAAAAGTATCAATCGTCATGTGTTACAATGTATGTAAAATATAGAACTTATCGGGTTGGTTTCGGAGCAAGATTGTACCCAAGCCGTATTTGTAAAATTAACAGTCCATTGTAACTTGATTATTATACGTCAAGAGTGTGTTAGTAGTAGAATTCATAGTGACTTGAAAATTCACATTAAACAATATCAGAAATAAAACAAAAATAAATTGATATATTCATAAAGTTCACAAGGTTTCTCTGCTATTATCCGAGATCAAGAATATCAGCAATTTTTCGGTTGGATCCGGCTATTGATTGAGGACCTGAAGTTTTAAATTCTTGCCTTTTGTTAACATATAAACTAAGAAAAATTTTATCAAGACTTATTCGAAAATATTTATAGAAAAATTTTAATGGATTCCATAAATATATTAGTTCTTTTTTCATTTCAGAATTCAATTTTTCGTTTGTAGAAATTACAGTCTTTCTTCAATCTCCATCATTACTTTCCACAAAACTAATTGTTAATACACACATATCTTACACAATAAAATCTTCTAACAATTTGTTCATGCGATAAAAACTTCAATTACTTTCACTTTGGTTGTATCGTCAAATAGAAACAACCTTGGTAGATTTGTCTTGTGTCTAGGACAGTTGTTCAACAAGACTCTTGCTCGCATGGGTGTGAATGAAGAGAAGACCACACTCGCAAGTAAATATTCGTCTCCAATTTGTGTTCATATATGTTATGAACTATAATTTTCATCTGATCAAATACTATAGAGTAAGAAGGGGTGATTTGGCACAAGAAATTGAATTTTTGTGTTGCAGCACACATAACTTTTTTATTTTAAATGATAGAAAAAAAATTTTGGTACAAAGTATGTAGAAAAAATATATTTTTATCGAATGGTGTTTTTACTTTCTCAAANGATGAGACAATGAGACGACGATCAGACACAATTGAACCACAAACAATGGTAAATACAATAGAAAAACTTCGTCTCTTACGTGAAAAATATTCCAAAACGATCGAATTCTATCTTCGTACTTGTGTCGAACAACATCGAGGTGAATGTATTCCTGGTCTCACTGGTCAAATTGTTGCCAAAGTTGCCAATATTTTCTATCAAATCTCTGATGATGAACAAATGATATTAGAACGTAAATGGCAATCATATAAACTTCCTCTCACACGTACATTTATCCAATTTAAAGCGGATAAATCGACATCATTCGAAAGAAATGAGTCGCGACAATTGTGTATGGAAGATGAAGATAATATGTTACAGAATGTACACAGTCGAAAAAAACCATCGAAAGCAATATGGGAACGATTAGTGTCAGATCCCTACATGATGTCAATAGGTCAAATAAATCACTGTTCGCAAGAAGATAATATTTCTGAGAAAGATATTATGCGAACTAAACGTTGGATTGCTATTGTGGGTGATCCAGGAAGTGGAAAAACAAGTTTTGTTCGATGGCTTGTTCATTATCTTGCTCAAATTCTTCTTCTTAATGAACAACATTCAGTTGATTATGGTCCTCTTCGTATACCAATTCTAATTCGTATTAGTGAATTTGCCGAAATATTGAAAGAACAACCATCAATAACTTTATTTGATTATATTGGAAAACATAAATGGATGGAAGAGTCAATTATTGATGATTCATCAATCTCTTCTGATAATTTATTATATGCTCTTCAAGATTACATTCAACAAGGTCAAGCTCTAATCATACTTGATGGACTTGATGAAATTTCTGTTTCAGATCAACGCTTAAAAATCATTAATACTATTGAAAACTTTGTAAATACTTATGTTCAGACACCTACAAATATTTCTGCCTTCGACAATGCATATTTAAACAAGTTGCTGGATGATCCATCTCGATTTGGAGGTAATCAATTGATAGTTACAAGTCGTGTAGGCAGTTATCATGCTGTTTCATTACCGGGACAATTTTCTCACTATACAATTCAACCTATGGATACGAAATATATAACAGATTTTCTTGATTATTGGTTTTTTTGTGTGCATCAACATATAATTGACATGTTAAATCTTCCATTAGTTAATCAAGCAGAAAATCATAGTGCAGCACTGAAAAAAGAATTAGAAACAACAAGAAATGCTGGTCTTCTTGAAATGGCTTCGAATTCTGCTTTATTATCATGTATTTGTACTGTATGTTTTAGTCAATTAGATGGTCCACCATTACATACTCAACGTTTTCTTCAATATGAATCAATTGTCAAAGAAGTGTTGAATTTTTGGCATATTAAAGTACCGACTATAGATCAATCACAAGTTATTCAAATTTTGAGTGATATCGCTTTTTATATCCATCAAAATTCAGCATCGAATTTTATTAACAATGAACAAATAAAAGAAGCTTCTACTCAAAAGACTAAAATTTTCATAAGTAAAACATTAGTAACAACAGACGATATCAATGGCATTGACAGACAAGCATCTGAAATGGCACGAATCATTTGTGATGATATTGGTATTTTAGTTTCACGACCCGGATCACTCTATGGTTTTCTTCGTCAAGCATTTCAAGAATATTTTACTTGTTTGAAACTCATCGAGACACATACGCCAATCAAACAGAAGAGATGCATTACTGATGTATTCGATCGAGACAACCAAATTCAACTTACCGCTCAAGTGATGTCTCGTCACGTAACTGATCTAAGGTTTCGTGTACCAATTACACTGGCTTTAGGGAAAATTAGTTCATCTTGGTCCCAAAACGATTTTGATGATCTTTGCTACGAGTTTATACAAGCTCAATATGAATATGACTGTTTTTTACCACTTGGTGCTTATATATTAATTACATGTGTCGATGAATTTGTTAATTATCCTTCGAATGACATCCTGTTCGATGCTTTAGATCGTTTAATAATTGCAGCTGGTCAACATAAATGGTGGATTGTTTGTCCGTTTTTACTCGATCAAATTATAAACGTCCTAAGAAAATTTCGACAGGATATTGTTTCATTATGGATTAATAAATTCTTATCTGAATCGTCTCGATATGATATTCAAACCATAACAGCTCTTTGCAAACTTCTCGAAGGAAGACCTCATGAATTTGAAAATATTCAATGGTTAGATCAAACATCTTGTTCAATGCTTCAATCTTTATTAACTCTTGATAACGGAAATAGTGAATTTGCTATTGATCGATTATTAGTTAAAATTGCTTTCTCAAATCATCAGTTATTATCTTCGAACCCAACTACTTTCAAAAGTTTTTTACTTGATAATGCTATTGAAATAAATTCAATTCCTATGATTCTTTTTCCATTAATCATTGCTTTATATGGTGGTTTAACACGAGATGATCAAATTGTTGTCTTCAATCCATCTCATATTCATCGGGAATCATCTGCATTGACACCGATGTTAATAGATTTTCTTTCTGAAAATGGTCGCAATAAACAAGATCAAAATTTTAAAAATTTAAAACAAAAATGTATAAAATCTTTTGTCATGCGAATGAAAAATCATGACGAATCCTGGGAAGCGGTTGATTTGTGTATTGCAACTATCTGCTTATATAATATTGAATATTTACAAGATAATTTAGATATTATCCCCAATTCTTTTTTACGCATTTGTACGAATAGATTAAAATATATTTCAATGATTTTACGTCAATTCTATTTTACTGCTGACAAGAAAGATCTATCGATGGAAAATGAAGCAACAAAATTTATTGCAAATTGTATCGAAAAATTTCGATATTTTGAATCAGCAAGAATTAATTTTCTCGATATGTTAGATTCACTAGGAAGTAATGTAGCTCGCATACGATCTTCTTCGACATCAATTTTGTTGGAAGGAATATCAAGACCTTATAGACGAGTAACATTACGTTTGCCTGATTCTCTTCAAAAAGAGGATCAGTTTCTTAATGGTCTCCTAACAATAGATATGCAATTTTATTTCAATCGAAAATCTTGCTCATTAATTCATCGTTTTATCAAACTTTTCTGGCCATTAGAACACAATGATGAGTTTGAGACACAATACAGAATGGCAGTTGCTATGGATAACATACCAGAATATTTACTGTTTCGTCATGATGAAGATATTTTATTTCCATTAATATTTGTTCCTTCACATCTACAAAATCTCTATATTCGATTATTGAAAAGAAAATTTATTACGATCAATCCAAAAGATTCCATAGGCAATAACGAACCTCATCTTTATTACGGTCACATTCTAACTGAATGCTTAATATTTTTATCCAATGAATCATGCAAGAGACTTTCTATTCTAACCGCCTTGATTACTTTGCTACCGTGGCTTCGAATGCATCAATTAGAAAACTTTGGAAGTAGTCTTTTATGGGGATTAGCTCTAAAATATTCCGATGCTTTGGATGCTTTTGAGACAAAAAGAAAACGTTCCATGAATCATGAAACTGGTCAGTATACGGATATAGATAAAGATTTTTTTAAAGGATCTGATCTAACGTATGAAGAACGAAGCACAATAATTCGAGATAATATTGAACAAGAACATGAAAGGCTTCAAAATACTTCAATCGAAAATGAGAACAGAGATATAAAACTTTATTCTGCATCTATCTCTTTAGCATATATTTGTCGTTGGACAGAAGAATCAAGAAAATTATCTTTATTAGAACAGAGTATAAATGGTGTCATGTCAATTCAGAACAAACTTGCTCGGCTTGATGCATTATGTATGATTGGTTTTTACTCATATTCCGACTATGATCGAATTCTAGTAGGTAGAGATAGATCTTTAAAAATGGAAATTGAATATCAATTCAATGAAATTTATCCAAATTCACCTCTTCTATTGCAAACAGCTATTTTCATTCGATGTTTACCTCTACTTCAACATTCACGAACTATTGATGATTGTCTTCAAAATCTCATTAGTAAATTTGATGATACAGATCAACGAGATCAAAAAGCAGTTGTTAAAGCCTTGTTACCATACATGCAATTGAATTGCGCTTTTTCATCGATTATGAATCGTTTCTCATGTAATTTACAAGACCAGAATAGAACAATACACAATAAATCTTTGGCTTTGAATTCATATTTTAATATTGGCGGACATGAAAATTTATCATTCTCATTACTCATTTCGAATTTGTATCTTGTGCAATTAGCCAATAATTTCCATACAATTATTAAAACGGATAATCGTCAATTTAGCATCGATGAATCTATTGAAACAAAACTCTTTCAATTTGAAAGTAGTATCTTGACAGCAGAACAAGCGTTAACAATAACTAATATTCTTTCCTTCACTTCGTTAACAAATCGATATAATCAGTACGAGAAGCTTTGTATTATCTTAAGTAATGCTCTTCATCGTATTCATTGGGTAGAATTAAAATCTTGTCGTTTGTTAGAATCTTGGCTGAAATGGAAAGAATCAAATGAATTATCTTGTTTTGCCTATCATGCTGCACTTCTTCTAATTAATTCTGACATATGGTCTGTCGACGCCCTAGCAATCGTATGTGATCTTCTATCTAGTGACAATGATCGTTTTCGTCAGAGAGCTGAAATATTGGTACGATCAACAAATGAACATGATGTTCGAACTAGTTCAAAATTGAGTATTGACGTTATATTAACTTTACTTAAGAAAAAAGTTCATTATCAATTAACTTCAGCATCTGCCAAGCTCACATTGGGTCATTTACTCAAAAATATAAATATAGACGTTCAATCTCATCTAGAAACATTACTTTGGCTAGAAAGATACAGAATACATGCATTGACCAATAAGCAATATTCCTTTAACGATTTAAGATCATCGAAAAATTCTTATGTAACTTCATTTTTTTCAACTGATATAGCGATAGATGCTGGTCCTTATGCTAATTTGTTTCGACTGTCTCGTGATTTGATAACATATATGTGTGATATGATTGCATCAAATTTTTCTTTATTTCGGGAGATCGATGGAGATACAACATCAAATGCAGTGTCGGAAAGCCATACTCAATTTGTTGTTTCAGTACTGATGAGCTTACACAAACTACTGAATAACACTGAGGAAACACGACAACTAGCAATCACTGCTCTAATGAACTTATTCGAAATATCCTACAACAATAAAATTCGTCAAGCAGCAGCATGTGCTCTTGGCTATGTATGTAATGGAAAAACATATAAAAGCTTGTTTGAAAAAATTATATTAGTAGTGAATAGCTTATGTTATGAGACTACTACTTATTGTAATAATGTTTTGTGTGCACTAATGACAAGTTATTTCTATTGTATATCTATAAACAAAATCGCATTTGATCAAGATGATTTGGATTCATTTTCTACTTTATTAAAACATGACTCACAGGATATTGTGAAAGCTGTTCGTGTAGGATTGGCTCGTGGTCTCAAAGATTCCTTATTTCTAATTAGATTTCTCGATTGTGATTATATTCAGTGTTACTATGCATTGATCGGATCAACAGCATCTTGGTATATTGATGAAGTTCAGCAAAATAGTGAAAATAATGTCGCAAAGTTTATCGAAGAACATCCAACTCTTTTACCAATTTTTATGGTTGAATTGTACGATAGTATTCGTCATTTTTCCACTAAAATACTACAGATTGGGTTCAATAATTACGATTTAGCTTACGGATATCCTACGCATGTAAGGATTGCTTGTCTAATCGCTGTACATATACCGAAAGTATTTTGTGCTTTCATCAAAGATTGGCCCGATGGAGACAATTTTAAACGGGCATTGTTTTATACGAGTAAACAAAATCATTTTCCACAACGCGCTGCTTGCTTAACAATTCTATCGCTGCTGGGTGAATTAACAATCGACTTATGTCAAATGTTCATTGAAGCTGTATGCGATGATCCATATATTCAAAATAATTGTTATAAATCTATAAGATTTATTCATTCTGTTAAAGATGAGATAATCGTTTTAAACCTTTTATTATCATATTTGAAGTCAAAATCCATGACTATTCGATATGTTACAGCTAAAATACTTCTTCATCTTTCTCAATCATCTCTTATCCCATTTCAACAAGTTCAAACTGTGTTGACTGATCTTATGTTAGATGCTGACTCAAATGAAGATTTATGGTTAATTGAAGAGAAAGATGGTTTCTCTTTAGAGTATCAATATTACTATGCTGGTCCATTGAAACATGTTATTTATTCACTTCTAGTTCAACATGTCACTGAACATAAGAGTGAAAATGTTCGAAGAAATAGATTCAATGATATTGATTCGGATTTCATTGAATCTGAAAAAGCATCCCATTTCGCTTCATGTGTCTATGAGAAAAAATCTCAAGACATCCCAGAATAAACAAGCAAATAAATCATTTTCTTTCTTACATTGATTATTTTACACAAGATTTATTTTTCTTTTAACATATATTCGTTTGCTTAACGTTTGTTGTTCTTTCCGTATATTTGAAATATAGGTTACATTTTCAGTACTAACAAGCATTTTATGAATTTTACTTGAAAAGAAATATCCTGATCAGAATATTATAAAAAAAAAACAGTGGATATGCCTAAGATATAAAGATATTTTGAAGTAAATCTACACGATGATACTACAAAATTCAACCACTTGGAATCAGGATCAATCTTGAGGATATAAGGGTGGGTGTAGGTGTAGGATAAGAAAACTAGGAACCACATTCACAGCCATATGCTGCTCAATTGAAGTACTGAAACATCTTTTTTTGCAGCCTAATATACGTATATCTATAAGTATACACAATTACTAAAGTCATTTTAAATAATTCGATCTCTATCAAAAATATCTAATTATATTATGGTCTTACAATGATCAATTTGCGTATTAATTTAGTTATCAAATTCATATTTATTTAGATCTTATATTCTATTCTATGCATATAACATACAATATACGAGAGTGTCATCTCCTAAAATGTAGTTTATATATATTTAATGTACAACCAATCAGTGCTTTTTGGTCACTTTAGTTTGTTTTGGATTCGAAAGAGATATTGCTTAACTTTCAATGCAAACTCTACCAATAAGAAAAAAGAAATTATATAGTGTTTTATAAATTGTTGTACAAAAAATATTCTGCACATTAAACTCTTTCTTATAATAAAAAAGGTTAAGATTTTCGCAGTTACTTTGCTTTGTATTTAGAAAAGTAGTTTGAATAAAGAGACGGCATGATTATAAGATCATGCGGCAGTTAAACGAAAAAGAATGCTACCTTGATTATATAAAAGTAAGTGAAATTTATTCTTATATTATTTAAATACAAGAATATAATTTAAGTATACAACTCATCTACTCAAACTTGTTCTACTTCGTTGAAAGGTAAGCATGTCTATAATGTTTTTCATATAGCTTAAATTATTGTAAATTGAAATTAAAATTATAAGAAAAATGAAGTTGATTTAGTTATTCAATGACGTATTGAACGAATTTTTCGAGTAAGAAAACAAATCTTTATCTTTTTTTCTTTCGTTTAGAGTGTATGTCATTGATTTAAAAAAGATGTTCAATTATGGTTGACATTTATTGAATTTCTTAAAAAAACAAGTGATAAATTTATTTGAAAAACTAATTCTTTTTCTTTATTTTTCATAGCATGATTATTCAACAGCATCAAATCTTTTCACATCTGCGTTACAAACACATGGCCATAAATATTGTATGTAATATGAATTTTGAGTGAGAATATTTTTGATCACCAAAAAAAGATACTTTTGGCCATCGAAAAAGGGTGTGGATGTGGGTGTAGAGGGTATGGACAAACCTCCCTCCTCAAGAGCAAAAGGTCCATGACCTCATATAGCATCTTCGCACATTCCTACTTTTTGGGTGGCCTTGTATTGGGATCAACTTTTAACCAATTATTAATTAAACTTTTTTTAATTATAATAATTGATTCATAATTTTAATTAATTTGTTGGGGTACTTTTCTTGGAAAAAAACAGAAAAGCACACGTGTTTGACTAATTATTAATTAATATTTGCGAAAAATGAGATATTTTTGTAAATAATTAATTATTTCATGACCTTGTAATGAGCTCAATGAACTTTTGTTTAGATATGACCTTCTAATGGAGATGGCTCTCTAACATGGGGTGATTTTCTTTTCTGAGCGACAGCTTACCAACATCCACCCATACCCTCGTATTCATTGTTTACAAACACTTTGACGGAAATCATGAAAAATTACCGCTCGAAATATTTTTTCCCATAAATTTTTGTAGAATTTGCAATTTGAAGTTATGGTATCATCATCATTTGCTCGTTCATTATTTCAACGTACTCTTCATTTAATGCCATAAGAGAAAACACTTTGGCTTGAAGCAAATTATTAAAATATAAAATTTTAAAACTTATTGTTTTTTTTTAATAGTATATTAAATTTGAATTACTCTATGTTGAATTAGTAGAACAACGATAAGTAGTACTTGATTAAACAAAAGAATAAATGGGAACTGATGTAGAAGATGCAATATTACAAGGAAAAATTGTTGAAATTGTTTTTAATAATGCACAAGCAACTTTTGAAATTCAGTGAAAAGTAATATTTAATTTACTTTTCTTAGCATTAGTTGTTTTTTTAAGATAATTCCATATTTCTTTGTTCATTTGTCAAAATTCTTTATGAATTTTCCAAATTTTCCTTTTGTTGAACCATTTGTAGATCAAATTTATTTAATGTAAAATAAAATTAANGAACTCTGGCATGGAAAAATGTCAGTAAAATAACCTCCATCGGACCTGGGCCGGGCCGGGCGGGCCAGGCAAATCCAAGGGCGGGCTCGGGCCGGGCCGCACTAAAATTAGAACTGGCCGGGCGGGCCACCACTTTAGCTGGGCCACGTTGGGCCGGGCTGGGCCATAAAAATGAGGCCCGTTTCGAGCCCTGGTTCAATCCCAAATGAAATTCTGATCAATAAATTGAAAAAGCAGGTGAGTTTTCTATGTGAAGCATACCCGATGAAGTAGTATGTATGGTGAAGTGCAATGTTTCTTCGAATCATCTTACTATATATTATCTTTTCTTATCCATCTTGTTTTCCATTCGTGCATTATTTTTATTAATTGTTTTATGTGTTCGAGGCAAATCTTTTCTGAATGTTACTGCTTTTATTCGTATTTTTAATCAAAATTTTTCACTATAACTAAACAAATTACCTAGTCCTACACATAAAGAAACGTACTTTTATGTGTAAAAATGTGCGATTATTAGATTTTTAAAATAATTTTGTATGAAAAAATAGAGTTTTGCGTCAATGAGGATCAGAAACTTAGTCATTAAAAAAATCAGATTTTTATTGTAAAATAAGCACATTTTTACGCTTAAAAGTTCGTTAATATTAATTTTTGTATGACTCGGTAGTAATATTTGGAGCAATCAATCGTTTTCCATAATCACAGTCTTCTGTACTTCTTTTCGTTATTTATAGCAATAAAGAATAGTCATCTTTTATTTCTATTTTCCAATCAGCACTGTTGAAGGAGAAACGACTAGGTTTTAATTAGATATTATTAATAAGGTTTGGTTTTATTTATGATGTTTTACAAGTTTGTAGCCAATGGAATTCTTCTAAAATTTCTCCAGTGTCTAATATTGATTAGAGATTCAGGATTTCTATTGAAAGAATGATATTTAAATGATCACTGAAAATTTATTGAATGCAATTATATCCATTAATAGGAGAATGTTGCGTTGAAAAGAATATTCCAAAAAATTTGATTGCATCGATTTCTTTCCATTTTCATATGAAATTTTTATCTAAAACGCATTAAAACTACTCTCCAAGCCTAGATCAGTCTTTGAGTTCATAAAGTACGTCGCCTAAGATTAGTTTGATATTAATACATGTTTTTCAATATGGTATTTTTTAACTTATGATACCGAATCAGTGTAAAATTGAAATGACAAAATTTATATATGATGTTCTGAATCTTGCAGCGAGACTCGCACATTTAGAATCGCGGCCGAATTATTGTGAAGTACGCCATTTTTTATTTCCTCTCTCTGTGTTGCGAATTATGAAATGTTTGATTTCTAGCCTAAACAGATTATCATAGGAAATTTTTTAATATGTAGATTTACTGACCTGAAAAATAGTACAAGAATTCTTAGATATTTTAACATTCTTGTAGCAGTGCTAAAATAACTAAGAATTCTTATAAACTATTTCACAATCAATTAATTCCATTAATTCGAGTTACTTCATTTAACGACTTAGAAGAAAGCCTTTTTTTTGAACTCTTCCTTAAAAGCTAACTAAATCTCTTTTGATTGAAGACCATACATCGTGTTCCAGTAGAAATCACTTGAAAGATTTACGTTAGTATTACGATTCCACTAAGCTATTCAGTTTTTAATGTCTATTCTTAAGAAGTCCTGTGGGACCCCGAAATTTCAGATAAATCTAAGCTTCGACTTTTGAGCTTAAGCTGTCCATATGTTGACACTTTATCTACACTAGTTGATATTAAAAAATTCAGAGTTCTTGAAGCAAGCCTTTAGTATATGTAACTGTCAAAAAAGATCGTCTTCTATTGATTATCTATGGAAAAGAGATTATATCTTGAAACTATATATCATTGACGATTTGTTCAAAAATTCTGAAATTTTTTATGTCAACTACAATAGTATAGATAAGACATCGACATATGGACAGCTTAAGCTCAAAAGTCGAAGTTTAGATCTATCTGAAATTTCAGGGTTCTACAGGACTTTTTGAGAATAGACATTAAAAACTGAATATCCAGTCAGACAACCGACGAAAAATAGCGCGTATAAACGCTTCGACACTTTAACGAAAACAAAAGTGAAAATGTGCGCTTTTTACGATTTTTTTCGTTAAAATTTTGATGCACTTATACGCGTTATTTTTCGTCGGTTGTCTGACTGGGCAGAAGGAATCCATAAACTGTTATGGACACGCTACGCTTATGAAAAGTCGACTTGCTCGCAATTCTGATACGACTTTCAAAAGATTTAGAGTAAAATCGAATGCGAACGTCTAAAAAAACAGTCCAGATGCAACATGCGATTTTTCTCTAGTGTTCCGTTTAACATGAATAACTGCATAGAAAACCTATCGGATGAATTCTTCTATTTACATCAACGCAACAAGTATGCCTTCCACTATTGGTGTTAGCAGTGATGATTGCAAAGCACAATTGACTGCCAATATCGTTAGATTATCAACTATGGATCCTCTCAATATTATTCAAGTTTTATCAACTCTAGATTGTCCGAGTCTTCTCCGAATGATCGAACAACATAGTACTTTATGTTATGAAAAGACATCTTTTCTCCAGGCACTAGTGACGACAATTTGTGCTATTTCTGGTCATATTATGATGGGTATGGATGTCGATGGTGGATGCAGGTGTGAGGATCAGTACAGGAGTGAGTGCAGGTTTAGCTCAAGAAAAGAGTGAAACCCAGACTCCGACGCATGCCCACACCCTAAGCTTTTTTATTTTTATTTGATGTTTTATTGACATTAATAGCTAGCAACTGGTAACGTGAGCTCTGTTAACCAATGAGAATTGATTCTCTATTGTCTGTTCTGTTGCTTTTTTACATCACAGTTTTTTTAACATACCGAACATTCGAGTATTCAGCATACAACAATGACAACAACCAAAGCACATTGTATGACATGTGAAAAAGAAAAAGTAATTGTGAGATGTGAAGGTTGTTCCAAGTTCTTATGTTACCAACACTTAATGGAGCATCGACAGGATCTAAATAAACATATGGATCAAATTGAGGTAACTCATGATCTCTTTCAACAAACATTGAGTCAGCAAATGGCTGAACCACAGCAACAAGCATTATTCAAAAAAATTGATGAATGGGAAAACGAATCGATCACTAAGATAAAAACGATGGCAGAAGAAAGTAGAAGCATATTACTTCAACATACAAGTGGACATTTGACAGAAGTTAAGCTGAAAATAGAAAGGTTGACCAACGAACTACGTCAAGGAAAACAAAGTAATGATTTTACCGAGATTGATCTTCGTGAATGGGAAGATAAATTAAAAAAGTTGCAAGAAGAGCTTACTCACCCAAATGGTTTTTCAGTTCGATTAGATTCTGAAATGCTCGTCGCCAAAGTTCGTGTTGATGTACCAGACAGTTCAGAAACCTTTGAACGTACTTTTGGCAATACTACGTTCGAAGAGGGTTCCAAAATAGTCATAAAGGATTCCACCTCGAGTCATACAGAAGTACGTGGTAAGAATGAATATACAACTGGACAGCGAACATTACGCTTTAAAGTTGAACAGTTAGGTGGAAATGGATGGATTGCATTTGGTATCATGTCTCAGACAACTGCTTTGCAACAAGATTCTTACAGGTCACAGACCAGTTATGGTTGGTCGAATCGCGAACAAGTCTATACAGCTGGATCCCATGCCAGTGGGCAGGGCAGTGAGGTGATTGAGAATGATACAGTTAGTCTCCTGATTGATTGTGAACATCAGCTTATTCAACTAACAAACGAACGAACGAATCGAACGATAAAGCAAGCTGTAGACATTAGTAAATGTCCATTTCCATGGCAATTACATATTAACCTTCATCAAGCACTAACACGCGTTCGAATTATTTCATGATATAAATATATGAAAGACTCTTCAATTATATGAATACTTACAAAATATATTTCTATAGATGATGGTTATGTGTGGTTTGCAGCTGAGCGAGTGGATCAAAGTCTAAGTGAGCAGGTATAGAGTCTAGTTATAGCTGCGTAGATATCTCGGTATGTAGGGATGTGAATGGAGGAAAAGATAGATCCACATCCATCCAGATCTTTAACCTTTAGTTCACTAGGATGTGCTGCATAACTTTGAAAGCAGAATAACTTCAAATATCAACAGACGGCATTAGTAAGCCTCACTTTTGGGTGGATGTGGGTATGACTCTATGCTTCTTCTACTCACACGCATCCCCAGACCCTTTGAATGGTTATCTTCAATCCATCCAAACAATACGTAGAGGGTGTGTTATGGGTGGGTGTAGGGTGGCGTGGTTATGGTTTTGGGTATGGGTGGGAATATGGGTGTACGTAGATGTAGGTGTGGGTTTGGTTGTGGGTGTGCATGCAGATTTTGGTGTGGATGTGGACGTAAGTGTTGGTATGGATATGGTTGTGGTGGTGGATGTGGTTGGGTAGGGTATGTGGGTGTGGAGTGGTGGGGTGGTGGAGTGTGTGGATGTAGGTGTGCGTGCGGGTATCAATCTTCAAAGGATCCGTGCTCAGGAACACCAATACCGGTACACAAGACACAACTACACCCACACACCTCACATCCCACACATATACCCACACTCATACCCCACTCCACATCCACCCACACCCTAAATAAGAGAACACTCTATACTCTAATTTATTATTTCTAATAAATATTTTAATATAAAAAGAAAAATTTCTAATCTCCATCATTCGACGAACAATGGAATAAATATGAAACGAAATGTGAATTATGTTTTCTAGTTATTCTATAGGATAATAAGACAACCTGCGTCTGTGTGTTTAATTATTTTGCAATTTATTCAAACAAGTACCATATATTTGATTTTCGAGATGGGTAATAAGAACATACAAATCGTTGTTAAATTTGATGACCCAATTTATTTTACAAATGAATGTGTAAATGGCGATGCTCATTTAAACATAATAGGTGATGAAGAAACCTCTAATATCAAATTAATATATACGATGATCAAGGGTAAAGTTGAACGTAAACCTAGCGACGACAAAAATCTTCCTTGGGATATCTACGAATCAACGAAAAGTATTTTGATCTCTCCACAGCAACCTAAAACAGACTTAACTTTTAAACAAGGCCATCATTCATGACCGATTTCTATTCCGTTAAAGGAATATCTTCCACCTTCATTTATTGCTCAAGTTGATCACCTTTACTATTATCTCGAAGTAGTTTTCGAGAAAGCATGGTTTCGACGTAATATAAGCTATTCGCAGCAAGTTACGATTTGTCCACATGTTAATCTTCAACACATGCCAAACGCTTCTTTTACGGTTAGCGATGAAAAACAAAACAGTAATGATATAAAAATCAGTGGAGCATTAAATAAATGTGGCTTTGTATCGGGTGAAAAAAGTAAATGTAAATTAGAAATATTTAATACAAACCGTTTACTAATTGAAAATATTGTCATTTCTGTGTTTTACACATCTTCACTGAGACCCAGACGATCAGCAGTAAATCTATTTCAATCAAATAGCCATACACGGACTATTTTAGAACAAATAGTAACATCGATTGATAATACACGTAATGAAATTATATCCGAATTGCTTGATGTTAAACTACTATCAGTTTTATATTTAACCAACATTCAACTTTTCATGCTTAATAAAGGGTTTTATTGATACTGGAACACATAGCATTCAAATTAGCTATGCACTTACAATTGAATTGAAAGTTGAAGGTATTTTAACGGGCATAAATGCTACAGTACCGATTATAATTGGAACAATACCACACCTCGTTGGGCAATTTTTTAATTTTCGAACTTATATTCATTAACAAATAGTTGCATTAATCACAAGCATGTTTTAACATACGATCTTCTTTTATATTATTGTATTGCAGCAGTTTTGTGCTCTTTAAAAATTCTTAAGCTTTTTCCTATCTTGTTAAAAAGAATATCTGATTATAAAGTATTTTCTTTTCGTTCATTAATGAAAAAGCAGTATAGATATATTTTCATGATTAACTTTAGATTGATAATAACACTATGGGTAATTCGACAGCAGTATTACCACCACCTCCGAAACTAATTAATACCATCATCTTTGACACCACAAAATCCGGAAACATTCTCATTGGTATGGCCAGATGAGAATGTTAATTTGATTGACGAAAACATAAATGCTCAAAAAAATCAAAACATTTGAAAACTGTCACATATGTGAACAATATATTCGAAATATTGAAGATGTAAACAGTATCGTATTAATTGTATCGGGTAGATAAGGTAAAGAATTGATCCCAAGTATTCACGATTTATTACAATTGAAATGCAATATACGTCTATTGTATGAATTTACAATCAAATGAATCATGAGCAAAACATTACAAAAAAGTAAGATAAAAATATGTGTTACCACTTGTGTGAATCATAAAGTTTGCATCATATTGATAGTTAACTAAATTATTTAGATGAGGTGAGAGTGTATGTTAGATCGTCTCGCAACAGTTCAGTGGTTGAGCCTACAACCTGTAGTCACACTATTGTGAATGCGCATCCCGCTTGAAATAACTTCTGAAAGAAATCAGATAGAAATTTGAAGTTTTCCCTATTTTAGAGGCAAGTTCTTACAGAATATTTCTATGAAAAAAGACGGCCTTTCGATGCGATCACTATGACTTAAACCATAAGACTGCCGCCTATGTTTTCAGATAGGTGCCAAATCTTTATCTTTAACCATTCACATATGTTTTAGCTTTTCTGTAACTATCGAAAGTGTCATTTTTCCATGTTTGGGAATATTAAATTTTGTAGAAAGTTCGGTTTTTCTTCTATGATCGTATAAAATAAGAAACTCAAGAATTCACTAATAGATTAAATCATAGCAAATATGAGTTTTGAATTAAATAATTATTTTAGGTCCTTCTCACAATTGAATATCAGTAGTGAGTATAGTAAGCGAATTCTGTAATGTTTTATTTTCGTTCTAGGTTAAACCTGTGTTGTCAGACATTGATGAATTGATGAAAAAACTATCTAATGATCAATCACAATGTGAAAAGCATGAAGAAGCAGTTAGTATTGATATATACAAACGTGAATCATCTCATACATCATTGAAATATAATAATAGTTCTTTCATGTAGTTCCAATCATTTGTTGAAGTTCTATTACGACTGACTCATTCATCAACATCGATAAGTGAATTTATTGAATTATGCAAGAAGGGAAATTACGAAAATTCAAAATCTATTATTGAAGAATTCGAAAAAATATATTCATCTGAAACATCTCTTTTGTAGTATACACGTCAATCTTTCGTCTATCGAATTCTAAATAAAGCATTGCGTACACAAGACATTCCTATATTAATTGTATGTCGTTTTTTAATCAAAGATATTTATGAGCAATTGAAGCAAGAACAAAAAAAAGCAAGATAATGGTAATGATGAAGTATATTATCATGGACAAGGTATGATAAAAGATGAATTAACAGAAGTACGTTCGAGGGTAAATGAATTTATATCAATGAGAAGTTTTTTATCAACAACAACAGATCCTCGTACAGCTGAAGCATTTGCACAACAATCAAATATTAATTTAGAAAAAGTTTTCTTTGAAATTCACGCTAAATATTCACCATTTGCTATGGTTTCTGAATTAATTTATTTTAAATCAGAAAATGAAGTTTTATTTATTCTTGGATGTATATTTCGAATTGAAAATGTTTATTTTAATGATGAAATCAGTATGTCGGTAATGAAACTTGTATTATCATCAACACAAGATAATCATGATTTAAAACAATTATTTGATTATTTAAAACGTGAAATAGGTAGTGAAACAAATTTTTATTCATTAGCAATAATATTAAGAAAAATGGAAGAATTTCATCATGCAGAAGAATGTTTAAAACAACAATTATTGCAATGCTCATCATCATCAAATGATTCCTATCGATGTTGTCATGCTTTGGGTAATATTTATCAAGATCGTGGTAAACTAGAACAATTAAGGACTGGTCTATCACAAATATTCACTTGATTGAAAATTAAAATTATCAAGCAAAAGCTTATGTTAATATTGGTAATAGTTGTAATAGTATTGATGCTGATTACGAGAAAAAAGGTGATCTATCATTAGCACTTCGTAGTTATGAAAAAGTAAGAAAAATATGGTTGAAATGTTATGATGATCAACATGAACGATCGGCGATGATTTACAATAACTTAGGGATTATTTATTGTAAGTTAGATAATTATTTTCAGGCTTTAGAAAATCATTCAAAAGCATTAGCTATTCGTCAGGCAATTTTACCTGATAATCATGCAGATATAGCATCATCATATACAAATTAAGCTACTGTCTATATGAAAATGAATCATTTAGATCAAGCCTTACATAATTACCAAATTACATTAGATATACAGCAAAAATCTTTATCATCTAATCATAAATCACTTCCATTGATTTTGTATAACATTGGAAGTGTTTACGAAATTAAAAATGAATTTCAATTAGCTCTGAATTATTATTTGAAAGCTATTAAAATTTATCATCATGCTGTCCCTGCAACACATCCAGAATTACTGCAAACAGAGAACAGTATAAAACGTTGCAAATCAAAAATAAAGTAAACTGATTACTATAGTAAGTTGCTGTAATACACCATCTGATAGAATTTTTAATTATATTTTTTGATATTCTTATATCACGCATTAATTCAATTTATTGAAACATTTCGACCTTGTTTGATGATCAGAAAATAAACATACAGATTAAATATACTTCTCTAAATTTAACAGAACACAAGTGAATAGATGCTGTAGTAAATGCAAACGGACCACATTTCACTATCTTTATCGACTGTAGTATATAAAAGTAAAAATCAAACTGTGATTCAGAAAGGTCAAAGTCTGAAGTTCATTTTTATATAAAACAGTGAAGAATTTCTTGAGAATAAGTAAAGAATCTAATTAGATGTCATGGCATGTTTCGTTCAATGAAGAGTTCAAAATAGGCTGATGTATAACTTTTGAAGTTTTGATGGCATATTTATTTCACTTATAAACATTTGTAACATTTCGAACTGAAGGTAGATCTACAAATATACTAATCTTTGTATTGAAAAAAGAAAATTTAAACACATAACTAAAATGTATTTCGAATGGACGAACACTATCAAACGTAGTCCGAATGAGTTTTCATACGTTCGTCTCGACGAAGGATGAATGACTACTGTTTTTCTGAACCCTATTATGACTCACACTACCTATATCAGTGAATAAATTCTATACCTGTTCGTTAATCGTAATCCTATTCATTTAGAACAATTGAGTTTGATATATTGTTTTAATTTGATGATTGATATTGAATGATATTGTCGGTGCATTTTACTTGTTCGATGGATAGATTGTTGTTTAATGATATGAAAGTAACAGAACTAGAAAGACTTGAATCTATAGTCAAACATTAAATGTATGGTAGAAGAAGAAAGTGAATTTAAGTTTTTCAATGAATTTTATGGATAAAAAAAAAGTATGTTTATCGTTAAATTTTATGATAATAATATTTGCCAACAGATGATTGAGTTGGCTATGCCTGATTAATTGAAGTATTTGAATTTTATGTTGTTGTTATTGTTCGTTTTTTGTCTTTCTATAAATTCCAAGATGAATATTTATAATATCTGCAGAATAACATATATTGATATTTGTTTAAAACTTATTCTTTTTTTATTTATTTTGTAATAATGATAGTTTTGGTAATTTACATATGAGTTTCTTGCTTGCATCGTGATGGTTTCGATTGCCCACTATCATTTTAACGTCCGATACTGGTGTATTTTTAAAAACATCTTCATAAACTTGATGCATATCTCATTTGAAAGAATGAAATCGTTTCTCATATGTATAAGGGTGTGGGTCTGGATGAAGAGAATCCCCACACCAATATCATCTCGTTAAGCTCCTGATGTAAATTCGACGACGAAGATGATGAACTTTTTGAGAATGAAATTCGGAGTATTTCAACACGTGATACCTTTCGTCATATTTTTGTCATTTCCGTCTCCAACACATAGACAACATTTTATAGGCATTTTCCTCTGAAATTGTTTTCTCAACAATTTTTTATCTTTTCTATCTTTGTCCTATTGTTGTCTGTTAATTATTCTTCAATTGCTATGGTTTTTCTGATCTGAATATATAACAGATAATGACCTCAAGAACTAAAACTGAAAGACATGAATCAATTATTTCATAAATCAATAAACTCAACCACAATTATAGACTAGAGAGCAGATAGCTAGCATTTGGAAAATCAGTCATGCTATCGACCCATTACCGCAATGATGCATCTATCTTTATTGCTGTCGAACAGTGCACTGTTTCTTCTTTTTGTTGACAGTGTCGCGTTCTCATACGTCATAAATAAGTTATTCCCGATGCCTATACTACCGATCGATAGTTCGACATGGATTTTATTTTTTTCCTGGTTAAATTTCATCTAAAGGCCATAAAGAAGCAAAAGAAAGAAATTCCAATAATCAACCGAGTCAGACTATCGATCAATTTTATGGCGTTTTTAGTCAGCAATACAGCTTCGATATTCTCCATATACTACTGTCATCTATTCATGTCCATCTAATGTTTTGGCTTTAATTTCAGTCAATAGCTTTCTTTTCTTTTTTGTCCTATTTGTTATGCATGTCTGTCTGTAATGCAAATACAAATAGTAAGAAGGTTTTATTTTACTCTATTGCATTGGCTTTGTTTAGAAGACAGATAAATTACAATTTTCTCTTCAAATTTTTTCTTTAAATTCCAATGTTGACTCACTAATAAACAACATTTATACTTCATTCTTGCTACTTATCTCAAAAGTAGATATTCAAAAATATATAGAATATTCAATGTTGAATTCTTTGTTTATTTTGAAGAGTGAAATGTTTACACTTCAAATATATTTTAGATTCTATATATAAATGTTTGCTAGATTAATATTCAAGAGAAGTTTTTTATTTTCTCAAAATGTGTATTGTCGTGTATTATTGTCTTTCGCGTCAAAAAATTACATATGTGATTCTTCAATTATCGAAAGTTATCGAACAAATGAAAAATTAAAAGCAATTATCGATCGACAAGAACATAAATTCTATTATTATATTGATAAAAATCTGCAGCAACAACTACCACCGCCAGTATTCAAGCAAATTTCAAGTAATTCTAATTTGCCGGAAAATTCGCAATATTTGACCAAGTAAATCAGAATCAATTTTTTGTTCTTTCAAACATCGAAATCACATGTGCGGATTTCTGCGATAAACTGCTTTCGGTTTTCTTAAGGACGACTATGTTTTAGAGAATTAATTCATCTTTTTAAATTACATGACGAAAAAAAGGAGATTTGTATTATTTATATTTGGGTGACCAATCATTTTTTTGTTTGGTTTTATTTTAGAAAAAAGACTGTTGTTGTTAGACGAGAATGTGTTTCTCAAAAGTGTTTGAATCCATTCGTCTACATGTTCTCTCTTATAGACATTCCTTGTTAGAATACCATAGATGAGTTTTTGTAAAAGCATTTTGTTCATAATCCAAAAAAGAGATTATTGAAACACTGATTTATTCAATGAAATCGTGAAATAAGAACAATAGTGTGATTCTAAATGAGAATCGTTCAAATTATGACCACAGTTTCGGGTCGAAACGATATTTTGTCGAAAACTTTATGGAGAAAGTATCGATGCTCATGGATAGCGAGCGCAGATTGAATCAATTACTAGTAAGTTCTTAACAACCATGAACGTATAATACTTACGAGCAAAATTAGGATCTATTTAACTTCCTATGACCATTCTAAGTCAAAAGAAAATGAATTTACACAAGGTCTCAAAGTTATAAAACGTTGAAATTTTCAAAATTTTAGATGAACGTCAATAAAATATTTTAAGAGCTATGTATAAATGCAATGTAATTTTATTTTGTAGAACCTTATAATAATTCATAATATCATGCTAAAAATTTCTTGTTGTTTAAATTATTCAGAGTTGTCACTAATTAGGATCAGTTTAAACGCCATCTTATATCGAAAACATTAGTTCCTGACCAAAAATTCAAAGCTTTCAGGTTGTTTGAAAATGACAATATTCGTTTATCGAATAAAACATAAAGTAAACTATTTTCTCGCTTATAATTGCTTCTTGTTACGTATAGGTCGACTTCGGTGAAACTAAAAATTGTCAGAGATAAAAAGACGATAATTAAGTTTGCATGTAGAAAATCTTTCACTTTGAAATGTCTCAAAATCCATGACATCGTATCAGAATTAAAATAAAATGAACACTCAGCATCAGATAAAATTCAGATACAACTATAAATTAGTGTTTTCTAGTTCTACATCTCCAAATCAAAGCGATAATTCGCCAAATACAATTTCTCTTCATGAATTTCTTCAGGTAGCACATTGGAATGACCGTACAAAAGGTAAATTTCCTGGTCGGATCAATTTGGAAATTCTATCCATTCGTCACGGTTATGTTTTATCTCAGTTGATTGTCCATGATGAATTATTGTCAGTGGACGATTATCTTCACGGTGGTGCTATTGTAACTTTAGCTGATGCAACTTGTGGTTATGGTGGTTTGGCATCATTACCATCGGGAGCTTCTACGCTTACAACAATTGAATTGAAAACGAATTTTTTGGGAAAAGGCAAATCATCAACTGTATTGAAATGTGAAGCTAAATTAATACATGGTGGAAAGACAACACAAATTTGGGATGCTGAAATGACGGATTTAGAAACAAAAAAACTGATTGCCATTTTTCGATGCACACAATTAATTATTTATCCAGAAAGTAGTAAAGAAAAATAAAGTCTTAAAATCATTTGCATTTTGTTGATCGCTTTCTTTACAATATTTTATGTTATATGGAATATGGAGGCTTTTGTTTAAATCGGTTGAGTGCAACACATCTAAGCAGCTAGTACTCAACTAGCAATTAAAAAATATTCAATTAGAACTACTTAGAAATTTCAATTTTTCAGAAGATAATTATTTTTCTTACTCACTGTTGAGTCACATTTGTTTCATAGTGCATAGTAATTCATAATTGAACAGCTACATAGATATCATTTTGCTCATAAGATTTTCCTGTCCTTCAAGCTTGGGTGTGCATGTGGGAAAAGAGGAGACCCACACCCATTCCTAGACTGAGTTTGCTGAAAAAATAGTTTAGATAAATTCTTAGTTATTTCAATTAGGTTATCATTTACATATCATTGTAAAATAAGGTACAAACCGAGACTGTTTGTCTGATCCGTGCAATTTATCAATTGTTTTCTGAATAAGATCGATTGCTCAAACAATTTGATGAAGCGAAGATCTCGAAAGAAAAACGAACAACGATCTTCATTTTAGATTGTCGAATCGAGAATAACGCGAGACTGTGAGATACAGATATAAAGAAAGATCGATTCAAAGTAGCTGATCATCGAACGTCAGTATCGTCTGTTGATTGACGTGTTTTCAAATTTAACGTTACACGATGACCAATTTAATGTTCAATAATTGATCTTTCGCTCAAGTAGATCATGTATTGTGTTAGGGAAACATCTGGCAAATTTGCGAAGAGAACGTAAGGCTTTCGTTTGCCATAGAGTTAAGCAAACGACTCTGATCGATTATTAATTAAATCTTGTGAAAATGCATCGAAGACAATTGCTGTTTTTGATAGTCACTCATCACAATTGATTCTTTCGTGCTGTTTCATACATGTGACACAGCTATTTATCAATACTAAATCCTAGTATCGGTACATGTCGTCATTTCGAAGAGAATGACAACAACAGATGCCGAAATGATGTCTAAAATCGTTGAGAAAAACACAAAGCTTCACATCAACAAGAGAATATTTATTATGTGAAATGGATATTTTTCAGTGAACATTTTTAAAATCAATATAGTAAGTCAAAGAACAAATGAATTAACTGAAAGAAATGATTGAATCGATCGACAATTTGATTCAATATTGAGATTTGAACCCAAGAAATTCATTCGAACTTTTTACATTATCTTTTCAAATAAAACTATATTATCGATCTTCATGAGATCCAAGCTAGATGCCACTTTTTTCAGCTAGTCAATGAAATGAATGGTTCTCTCTTTTTGTCGCCTTTCTCATTTCTGTCATAATTTGGCATCTAGTTTGTGTTTTGATTCTCATCCATTTTTATCAGAAGACCTTTGTCACACTGGCTTAAAAAAGAATTTTTCGTTGTTAACATCCTACAATTTCATTCAAACATTATTTCGTGATTTATTACTCTATAGTTCTAAATCGTTTGTTCGAATATTTTGTATGCTTTCAAGAAGGGTGTCACACGATAAACAGAACTACTGATGAGAAATGAATCCAATAACACATCCGAAATGCGAACAACTATCTTCACGTGACATAAAAAAAATCATGACGAAGATATCCGTGATTATTATTCCTCAGTTTTTGAGAATTTGAAGGACCCAATAAGATGAAAAGTGTCAATGCAAAAGAGCGCAGAAAAATACTACGATGTATTCGGTGCTAAAAGTATCACAAATTCCAAAAGTTTTTCCGCTGACTTTTGGCCTTTCCTACTTTCTGTTGATCTGTGAGGGAGAGGAGCATCATTTTTCTTGCTGGAATATTCAACTACATATTTTGTGAGAGTTCCGAAAAATAACACATCGATGCGAGTTTTATCGTTTATTTATTACACAGAAAAAATGATTGTCCGTGGTGACATGAGAAATTCTCATCGAAAATTCGAACAGAAGTCGACGCGATAACTAATCGACTACTCCATCCATAAATGCAGTTTGCAACAAGAATTGATTCGGAATATGAAATTGTTATTGTGTCTCAATCGAGTAATGGAATTGAACCAATCACGTGTGATCGGAAGAGTGTGAAGATCTATGCAAAAAGACTGCAAGTCAAATATCACACTACCTAAACGTTTGAATTCATTGATTAAAGCTGCCATGTCCACTAATGATTTGACATGCATCTCCAGATGTTCAACATATGGAAAGTGACAAATGAGATGTGAGGTATTAACAGGTTTTTCTACTGTTGGACGAAATCGATTGTAGATTAATTTAAGCAAACGAATTCGTTCAAATATTGGTTTCGATTCAGAGCACAACAGTAGTGGGCCATTGTCGATTGCGAGACTATGTAAACGAGTGTTATCCATGGATAAATATTCAACCGTGATCAAGTCGACAATCAACTGAGATATGATGATCATGGAGCGACAGATCTTTCACTTGTGTGTACCAACGACGTGCAGGTAAAGACATCGAATTGTGGATAGACACATAGGGAACGTGTTGTCAATAAATTTATTTATGTTTGATGCTGTTGAAGGATATGGCACAGTAGGAATGTATTCATTCAAGAAGGAATAGCAAGGCGTAGTGAAGAATATTAAAGTCAGTTGATCAAATGTCACAAACCAACGCTTCTCTGTGTGCCAAAAGGGCGAATAAAATGTGCGGAGAACATTGATATTGACTGCGGATAGCATTTGAAAACAAACTTTGAACGTGCTAAGATGAGAGACGATGGTTTGCCATCGTCGGGCATCCACTAGATCCTTATCAGTAAAAACATTGAGACCGAGATGTTTTAGATGAGGCATTTGAGACAAGAAACGTTCCATTTCATGCATTGATGGTGAGTAGTCTGTGTAGAGACAAAAATAGGTGATATATCATGATAGGAAGCCTATAATCTATAACTAATGGTTAATTATCTGCAGACTTCGTTTTATATATCGGGCATCAATCAAATCGTTTTTATATTTGTTAACATTTGAACGGAAACCAATTCTCATCATACATCTAGATCCTCGAATAGGAGTTATTTGTGATTTATTCGATGGGCACATAACTTCTTGATAAAATGTTTGTTCATTTTGATCTGCTGAAATAGTCTTTCCGAACATGGGCTCTAGCATTTCGTATTATTTTTTGTTTGAGAATGGTGAGCAAATCTTTGAAAGGCGACATAGAAAAAAAAGTTAGAACTAAAAACATTTTCATACATTTAGAAATCTACCGTACGGTATGTACTATCGGAGTTCTTCTTGTCTGTCGGCAAGGTACCTCCATTATCCTTTTCTTATCACCTAATTATGGAAAAATGGATTTTTTGACGAAATTACATTTTACATAGGATATATTTCTTGAGAAAATCTATCGAGTCCCACAATTTGTAGCATCATCCCGAAGAAACGTTTAGGCATTAGCAAAAATATGCCTGTTTGACGTCTCAATTAATTGTTCGAGTTTTTCAAATTCTCTCATAGCACTCGAATGAAAATAACCACAAAATCCTAGTTGAAATCCGTAGTTTTTGACTTGACTGAAATACTTTCGATCGAACTAAAATTGAACAAACATTTGATCTAGATATATTTGACTGACACGTTACTGTAGGAATATTCCTTCTTTGAAATTCAATTATCTCTTACCGAAGGATTGAACTTTTAGTCGACGAAGAGATGATGGTGGGGACAGCACAAAGTCAAACTTAGTTTTGGACTCTAAGTCGGCGTTGCATTCAAGAGAAATATTGAGTGAAATGAGATTTCTAACTAATCAAAAGATCATGGAAAACGGCTTGAATGTGCAATCTGTCACTTTCAAATGACGCAATCGAGGCAATACCATGGAAAATTCATCGTCAAATAATTCAATAACGATCACCGTTAATCGTCGCAATTGTACAAGGACTGTCGAGAGAATCACATTCAAATTGACATCGATGAGAAGTTTAATCGATGAGAGATTACTGTAATTGTGCAGATCTTCTGACACGAGATTAGTCGACGATGAGTTATAAGAGTGAAGCTCTAGCGATTGTAAGCTGGTAAATTTCTCTAGGCCATTGAAGAGTAACAAAAAAAATTTTTATTTGCCTTGGTGTATGTTCATCATCGGAAAGAATCAGGGATATGACTTGACGAGGACAAATACAACAACAGATAAGATCGAACTGAGATTTTCGAATGGAATCAAAATTGAGTTGAAGACGAAGATATGAACCAACAGCAACATTAAGTTGTCGATTGACATGACAATCGGCAAAGTGTCGAGACTCATCTTATCAACTAAACGTTTATATAATACAGAAATAACCAATAAACCTTCCATTATATATACTCTTCAGATGACAATATACATTGATCTTTCGTTATTAATGATACAGAACAATGTTCGACAGCATGCATCAGTCAAATCTATAAAACTTTGTATAGACTATCGTATATAGAGAATGTTGGACTTCTCAGTTAGTCACATTTGAGTGCTAAGGAAACAGGTTCAAGAACACTATAGGCTGCTAATGATTACATTAGCTATTTAGAAACCTCAGGAGCAAGTGATTGTGACGGTAAATCCGCCTGAATACACTTTATTCAGACTAATAATGATCGACAACAACTGAATGAAGCTACACAGTACACAAACTCTGCTCGCGAGAAGAATCATAAAAGAGAGAGAGAGACACTAAATTCATACGCTCTGAGCCAATCATTTGGTCAGATGATGCGAGAAAAAGGAATCATTCACGCGGTGCCAATCGATCGGTTAACGGTGAGCGAAAGAGAGAGGCCAACGGATAGAGATACGATATGTGGCAGAAGAGGAGAATAGAACGTAAGATAGATAAGCTGCTATGCGTAGCGGTTGGTTTTGTTACAGTGACTATGGGAGTATTTTCGTTAAAAATAGACGACTATCCGTCAGAAGATCGACTTGAGTCTTCATTCATGAAAAATCAGTATCTGCTCGGTGCAAATAAACATAGAACCTTGCACCTATCGAAA